CCTTCAGAAGGACGTCGACTGGCGCTGGGAGCAAGAGCACCAGGATGCTTTTGACAGCATCAAGGCCAGTCTCCAAGAGGCCCCTGTCCTGGCTCTGCCGGACGAGACGAAGCCGTTTAGCGTCGTCTGCGATGCCTCCGATTACGCCATCGGGTGTGCATTGCTGCGGGACGACACGGCTGGACAGGAACGAGTCATCTCATTCCAGTCCAGGCAGCTCAAAGCCGCCGAGCGGAACTACCCTGTCCATGACAAGGAGCTCCTGGCAATGAAATATGCCCTTGTGAAGTTCCGTGTTCACCTTCTGGGCTCTACGCCCTTTGTGATCTACACAGACCACGCGTCCTTGAGGACGGCGACTAACTCGCCTCACCTCTCCCAACGGATGGCGAGGTGGCTGTCCTTCTTCGCGGAATATAACTTCCGCGTCGAGTACAAGCCGGGCAAGCTCAACGTGCTTGCGGACGCCCTCTCTAGGCGTCCCGACTATGAGTTGGCCCACATCACGCGGGTGACAACGGATCTATATGATCGGATACGCATGGCGTATCGGGACGATGAGGCTGTCGCGCCTATCGTCAAGTTCCTTAAGGCCGGAACGAGCGCGAAGTCCGACTGGCTCTCGTCGCGACAGCGCTCACGGCTCCACCGATATGAGTTGAAGGAGGGCCTCCTCTATTATCGGGTAGAGCCCACTGATCCTCCACGGGTGGTCGTACCCAACGACGAGGATCTGAAGTTCGACATCCTCGCTGAGGCGCATGACGCGCCCTCCAGCGGCCACTTGGGCCGCGAGAAGACCTTTCTGTCGGTCTCTCAGTCCTTCTGGTGGACCCACATGTACAAGTGGGTCGCCCGGTACGTCAAGACATGTGAAACATGTCAGCGGGTTAAACCCGCAGGGCACTCTTCGGCTCCACTACAGAGCCTGCCCGTACCGGCTGATTGTTGGAAGTCGATGAGTCTTGACTTCATCTTTGGGCTTCCCGCCGACGGACACGGCAACACCGGAATTTTGGTGTTCGTGTGTCGGCTGAGCAAGATGGTACATCTTGCTCCAGTTCCCGTCACTGTGACGGGCGAACAAACCGCAAGGTTGTTCGTCGATGGCGTGTTCCGCTATCACGGTCTCCCGGAGACGATTGTCTCGGACCGAGACCCGCGGTTCACTGCTGCGTTTTGGAAAACGCTGTTCCCTTTACTGGGAACTCGTCTGCAGATGTCCACTGCGGATCATCCGCAGACAGACGGCCAAACAGAGCGCGTCAATCGAGTGCTCGAGGACACTCTGCGCAGTGTGTGCGCGGCAGCGCCACGTACGTGGTCGACGCAGCTTCCAGTTGTTGAGTTTGCGCTCAACAACGCGGTGCACGCGTCCACGGGGCTCACGCCGTTCTACTTGAACGGCTTCCGCCACCCCAGAGTGCCTCTCACTCTTCGAGGAAACACTGACTCCTCTATTCTAAGTGGGGGAGAGGCTCGGAAAGCCCTTTCCTCCCAGGTCTCGGATGTGAGGCCAGTTTCGCTGCGGAAACAGGTGGAATCCTTTATGGATACCAAGCTGAACATTGTCAGCAGGGTCCGCGATGCCATGGCAGCGGCCCAGGATAGACAAAAGGAGTACTCAGACAAACATGGAAGAGGAAACTTAAGTGTATTTAAAGTGGGGGACTTAGTGCTATTAGACACGAGGAACCTACCGCTAGACACTGTCAGCTCTGTCGGCAGCAACAAGCTGAAGCACCGCTTCATCGGACCTTTTGCAGTCCTGGCCAGACATGGTGCGTCGTACACCATCGACCTTCCAAAGTCAATGACGACGCACCCGACGTTCTATGTCGGACGTCTTAAGCGGTACTTTGACCCGCAGGGGGTTGCTGACTCGCAGACCCCCCTTGACCCAGCTCCTCGAAGCGAGGGCCGGTCACAGTCGTCGACGAGGGCGTCGGAGCAGGCACCCAAGCCTCGGTCGGGACGGCAAGGCTGCGGTCAAGACCGTACGCCGGAGGGGCTCCATACGAACGGACCCCGGCGCCATACGCCGAGTACGCTGAGTACGCCGGGTACGCACCATACGCGTACGTCTGGGAGTGTGCCGCAGGCGGCTCCGGACGTGGCAACAAAGCCTCGATCCGTCGGATCATGCGAAAGGCCTCGTCCAGATCGGACGAAGAGGCCCGGCGGTCCACCCGCAGGTGCAGGCTCGCGACCTCTCGCTCCACCAGGTCCAGGCGACCCGCAAGACGAGCGAGCTCGCCCTGATTCCCGGCCTGGGCGGCAGCATTACCGCCAGTCCCAAGGCCAAGTGCAATCTCAAGCACGAGGAGACGTTGACGGAGGCGGTCAACCTCAGGGTCCCGTGTCGGACCCGCAGTCGGAGCACTCGAACGAGAGTGGCTCTCGGGAGGCGCCGAGTACTCGTACTCGTACGAGGGCACCTCCGCCCCTGCTTGACCGGAATGGAGAAGTCCACTTCCACGTGGAGCGGATCCTCCAGGAGCAACGGTGTCGCGGGAAGCGACAGCTCCTCGTGAAGTGGAGGGGTTATGCCCACTCCGAGAACTCGTGGGAGCCGATTGAACGGCTCCTGATTGACTGCCCGAAGGCTGTCGCAATCTGGGAACAGAAGCGGCGGCAGCTTCATAAGTAGTCCGGGGCTTCTTGCCCGAACGGGGTACGGATGATGAATACATACCGTACCCGCGCTCATCGTGAGCGCTAGAAGCCGCGCGCTTCAGGATGTCCCTTGGCAGCATACGCTTGCTGATCAAGTGGGCAAACCTCACACGAAGATCACGCTGGTCCAGGATGTGGGACAGCTGCTGATCTTCATGGAGTTCCCATAACTCCGTGGGCGAGTACTTGAGAGTCTCCACCCACGCCCAGAACATGTCCTCACAAGAACTCCATGTGGGACAGTTCTCGGGCATAACCCAGGGGTATCCCCAAACAGGATAGAGACCACCCCGGGTCTCGGGCTTCTTACGACAAGTCGTGAAGTCCTTAAGGGGAATGCGGTGTGGCGCGAGAAGCACACACCGAGCAGCCTCCACGTTGTCGACGAACAACTGTTCTTTCTGAACAAGGGCTCGTTCATAGATGCCCCTAGAAGTGTGGCCGCCCACAAGGCCACGAGGAGCGACGAGAAGCTCTAAGAAGAGGTCAGCCCCAGAGCTCTCCTCGGGAGGCCAATACCCTCTTGAGTTGATGGCAGCTCCCTGGCTGACGGGTGCCGCCACCGAACCCCCACGCACACGCTGGGCAGCTTGGAAATCCTCCTGCTGCTGGTCGAGGTCATTCGAGACCTCCCGGGGCTCAACAATGGCACCCTCCTCTTCCTCTTCTTCCTCCTTCTCCTCCTCTTCATCCGAGGAGCCGAAGAGACTCTGATAGGAGCGTCGAGTCTCCTTCTCCTCGCGGAGTGGAGACTTAGAGGCGGTACGCTTCTTTGAGGGCTTGGCGCCTTCGGCTTTAGAGGCCTTAGCGCGCGCAAGACCCTCGGCAAGCGAGAGACGTTTGCGAGGACTCCCTTCCTCATCGCCACCGGCTTTGGGAGTGCCCTTAGCCTTAACGGCCGGACTCTCAGAGCGCACAGAGGTCCTGGGACTGTGATCACCGTGGTCACTAGCGGACGACTGCACGCTGTCTTCTTTGTGCTCACTGGGCACTGGGCTGTGCCCTCCCACAGAGCCCGCAGGAGCATCATGAGTGCTCTCGAACTCGGCATCGTCCTCACTGCCCGAGTTGAACTCATGTTCTACGAACCGAGGGTTCGGACGATTGTCTGAAGACGAGGGCGACGGACTGCGGCGCCTGCTTGCGCGCTTGTCCGCAGCCGCGTCACCCGAGGATCCGATCGCCTCGGAGGCCACCTGAGTAGCCTCCTTGAGTGCAGAGCCTTTGCCGTGAGGCTTAGTGCTCTTGGCCTGCGCCTTACCGGCTGCAGCCTTGGAGCGTGTCTTAGCACCGCTCTTAGCAGTGCCACGAGGCATGTTAACGGTCGAAGTGGAGACCTTGACGAAGAGCGCACAGGTTGCTGCTCGAGGCTCTAACTGTAAAGTGAGCCTCCGCCGCGCTCGCGCGGCCGAGTCGATGGTTTTCGACTTTGAGAATGAGAGTTTGTGACGAACATCTCTTCATTCTGATTGGTCGGTAAACCGAACCTAAGTGGGGGAGGATGTAACGGGGTACGTAGCACTAAGTGTACCCTGGTTACATGAAGTGTGACACTTCACACTTCAGGAGTATGACATGTCATACTCCGGGATATTTGGTACAAGGTACCAAGGTCATTCAAAACCAACCATTGGTTAAATGACATTGCATTTCTATAGGTAACTGATAGTTTGTATTAACCACAAACTTAACCTACCTATAAATATACTCAGTTTACAATCTACCTTATTTAGGTCACTTCGCTCTCTTTAATTAAAGAGGGGACCTGTGAACTGCCGTTCACTGAGAGTTTGTATACTCTCGGAAGATAACTTCCTCTAGCGCAAGGTGCTGTGTGACCCCGTCACAAGCAAGATAACGCACCTCAGACGTCGCGGAAGCGGGTAGACTGAGCGACATGGCCGGCGATTGCAGCAACGGTTGATCTCGTGACGTAGGCTGCGGCGTGCAGGTAACGGAGCGGCGGCGGCGGCAATGCTCGAAGGGGGGCGAGTTTGGGTTTGAAAAGCAAATGAAAGGCTGGTGTGATTGGTACAACTACCGGTATACAGTATCGTACCGGTATTAACTACATAGATCACATCGTGGACAATACACGGATGAGAGTTGGACAATAATTGCACTCAACGACTGGGTTGTTTTTATAAATTACCGAATGAAAATGTTTTACATCATGGACATTACATGGAGTATTACATGGAAAATAAGCGGATTTGACGCATGGACTGTAGCATTTCCGTTAAAAATTTAATGATGAAGCCATCTCAAAAACTTGATAAATTGCATTTTTAGCCTGTCAACACCGTCGTCATTGCAAAATCCGAATGGCCTCGTCTCCTGCGTCTACTGAGTGGCCAAACGATGCCAAGGACACCTCTCCGACTCAGGAAGAAGCGCGTGTTCGTCAACTTCTGCGCGATCTTCGTGTGGACACGGGCGACGTGGTGTTGTTTGACCGCAAATGCTCGTCCATGGGACTCTACGGCGGCGCTATCTGCGTGTGCGCAAAGTTCCTCGGTCAAACGCAGTGGGACCACAACGGCGTAGTTGTTCGAGCTCCGTCACTAGCCCCAGACGCTAAATCACCCGAGGACGAACTGTTTTTGTTGGAAGCGTCGCTCACAGGCGTCAAACTGCGACCACTAGTGGCGCGCGTATTGCTCAGTCGCGGCCACGAGGTCGCAGTGCGCAAGCTGCAGGTGGATCGCACGCCAGATCTGCAGAATAAGGCGCTGCAGTTCGCTCTGGGCAGTCTAAATGCTCCATACGAGGACAACCCTGCCAGGTTCTTCAACGCCGGCGTGTCAGTACCAACAAGAATCGCGCGCGAACGAATCTTTGCGGCTCTAGTCGCTACCAAGAAGGAGCTCGCGAGACTGGACACAGAGCTAGCACATCGAGACAAGATGCCCGTGTTCGAGAAGAAAGCACTACTACAGGAGAGACAGGCTGTGAATGAACGGTATCAGGCTCTCGGGGCGGAACTGAGAGGCAGAGAACGCTCAGTGTTTGAGAACGCAGTGGTGGAAGGAGAAGCGGTGAAGACGACCAAGATGTTCTGCTCGCAATTAGTAGCAGGCATGTATCAGCACTTGGGATTCTTGCTACCGTACCCGTCTGCGAACTCGTATTTGCCCAAACATTTTAGTGATCGCGACGGTGGCGATTTTCTAAAGTTGCAGCAAGGTGCAAGCTTCTTACCGGATATTTCCATGAGGAAAGAGCTGGAGAAGGTGACGGAGAGATTCGCCACGCGAGTACAGGAGACCAAGGAGAGAGGACCGCGTCCTGGCTCCGAGACGGCGGCTATTGTACATTGCTTACGTCGACATCAGCTGTTCCACACGCTAAGTGAGCCAGAACTTTTGGCTGCAGCGTCACAGTTTCGACGCCGTGTACTGGCTAAAGGAGAAGTTGTTTTCTACCAAGGAGCACCTGGCGACTGCTTTTACATCATTGAGCGTGGAGATTGCGACGTCTTCGTGGACTACGACCACTTGCTGAAAACGCAGACAGCTCTCCATGCTGTAGGCACAGAGAATTCCCCGAACCAGGAGCTACAGCGACATGTTCAGCTGCGTAAACGCAAGACGATCGCTTTGCCTGAGTTCAAGTCGTCATCGAGTCTCGTAGGCAAGAACGAGCGTGTCCTTGTGGCTACAAATGGCCCTGGTAACGCATTTGGAGAGTCAGCACTGATCTACGATACACCGCGCCGTGCAACGATTCAAGCGAGTGCCTCTAACTCGGATGATGATAAAGGGGTTGTGGTCTTATGGCAGCTGGATAAACGTACGTTCCGCGAGATTCTGGCAGCTCATCCGGGCAGCCAGCAGTCCTTGGAAGAGCGTCGATTTCTGCTTGAAGCACTGGAAGATAATCCTCTATTCACTGAGCTGGATGATCGAGCCAAAGCTTTGGCTGTGCGTAAGTGCTTTCCTTTGAGTGTGCGTGCTGAAACGACGATCTTACGTCAAGGAGATCCAGGCGACTACTTCTACCTGGTTGAAAGTGGTCGATGTCAAGTGTCACGTCGCAAGCCGAAGGCCACCAAGCCTTTCGTGGATCGAGTCATTGGTCGTGGTGCCAGTTTCGGGGAAGCTGCGTTGCTGTATAATAGTCGTCGTGGTGCCTCAGTGAAAGCCCTGGAAGATGCCAAGATCTGGTGTATGGATCGCGCCAGCTTTCTCACGATCACTCGCAGTGGGTCGACTGCTCTCCACAAATTGTTTAAAAAGGTGGGCACCACTGTCGTCTCTGGGTCGAGTGAGAGTTTCGCCACTGAACGAGATTTACGTCGAATGCTGACGGACCCCCAGCAGATGCAGCTGGTGAGACATAGTGCCAATGAAGACGTAGATGACGAGGGGCCAGCGGTACATCCCACATCGCTGCCATCACCTCAGGCTTACGATCGTGCTGTGAAGCTGGCGTTGTCACTTTTGCTCAACGACCCATCTGGACTTGTCAATTTCTCCCAGTTTGCGCACTTCCACATTGCATTAGGCGCTTCTAACATCGACCAGCTCCTTTCAGAGGCGGCTTTCCGTGTACTGAAGTCGATGACGGGCTCTTATGAAGGTGGGAACACTCGCATACCGACGGCATCATCGCTGTTTAACCAGGACGACGCTGACCAGGCTGCAATCAAGTTGAACGACCTCCCGCGTGCGATTCAGCAGTGGGTGTTCACGATTGAGACTGCGACAGCTACACCCGTTCAAATGACACCTGGTCGCTTGGCGTTCTACGAGCGCTTGTTCGACTTGCCAGCGCATCAACTGGGTGATCAATATGTGACTCATGACGACTTGGTGCGTGGAATAGCAGCGTTTGAAGTGGAAGACTCTCGCTCGGAAAATGGTGAAGACGATGATCACCCTCAATTGGGAGATGTGACTGCTGCAAAGGAGGAGTTCCGCGCTTTCCTGACCGCTTTAACGACGGATATCAACTCTTTACGAACCATCTGGCGCGCCGCTGAGTTGCAAGCGCACGGTGGAGACCATCTTAGTATGAGCCGAGATCAAGAACGCCTTACTTTCGATGCCAACCTCAAGTCTGGCTGGATCTCCGCTCTTCGTCAGAATCCCACGGGTGGGGATTGGGAATATCTGCAACCAGAGATGGAAGCTCGCAGCAAGGCTTACAACACCATCAACTCAAACTTTCGAAAGCAACAACTGAGTGCACACATCACGTCGTTCGCCGCTGCCATTGCAGCTGGTGCACTTGCACGTACCGTGTGTGCACCGCTGGAGCGACTGAAGATGCTGATGCAGCTCTCTACTCCAAATCCGGCGTCTGCAGCAACGACTGTGAAGCTTTTATCTGGGACTAATCCGTACACGTCCATGACGAGAGGGTTTCTCAACATGGTCAAGCTCAGTGGACCGCGCAGTTTGTTCAGTGGAAACCTCGCTCACTGTATCTGGGTGGTGCCCTCAGTCCCCACTAAGGTCATTCTGTGTCACGTGTACCAAGAGCAGCTTACTCGTCTGCTTCCCGAGTCTTCGTCGCCCTTCGGACAGAACGCGCGAGTGTCAGCGAGTATGGCCAATCTCGCAGTGGGGGGCCTGGCTGGGCTGACACTCAACAGCTTGTTCTATCCACTGGACGTCATTCGCGGACGACTTACTGTTCAGCAATATTACAACGCTAACCGTCCTTCGAGTGGCATTCTGAACTGCGCTCGCTCGATCCGTGACAAGGAAGGACTGCGCGGGTTCTACCGAGGCTTTGTGCCTGCGAGTCTTGGCGTCTTCACATACATCGGCTGCAACTTTGCGCTGTACGAGTCATTGCGTCCAGTGTTCGTACTGTACGACACGGAAGATACGAGCAACCAGCTTGGCCATCCCAGTGTCCCCGGTCAGATTATGTGCGCCACCACGGCTTCGCTCGCGTCGCAGTGTATTTCGTACCCATTCGACGTGATTCGACGACGTGTGCAGCTGCAGGGCGCCAAGTGGCATCCAGAGCTCGCATTCCCGACGTACGAGAGCGCGTGGCACTGTGTACGGGCGTCTGTAGTGGAGGAAGGTGGTGGTATTCGAGGACTGCGCTCGCTGTATCGCGGCCTGTTCGTGAACGCTGTCAAGGCGCTACCATCCACTGTGATCTCTTTCCTAAGCTACGAGAAGCTGCGCGAAATGAAGCACAATGTAGACGATGTTTAGACAAGCTAATGTGAATTTGGCAACAGATACTTTCAATTTCACCACTGATTGGTCGATCAATGAATTACCATCGGCTAATCAAAATGTCAAGTTTGAACTGGCGTCATCGTTTAAATCGAGGAGTGATGGTCCTTCAAGTTGAAGTGCGAATTCCGCATCCACATCTGCAGCACCAAGCCATCGCCGGTATGCAGGCGTCTGACAACGGATTCACCGAAGGCTGGACGCTGCGAGACCAAGCGGCTGAGTACAGTCGCCTGCAGCAAGAGAACTTCAACCACAAGATGCGTATCCACTTCCTGGAAGAACAGCTCATCCGTCTCAACAACGGCGACATAATCTTTGGCAGCGAGGACTTGCAGGTGGAGGTGGCTCGGCTTCGCAGTGCGCTGGAGGAGCGTGATCAGCTGCTGGCAAAGCAAGACGAAGCGACGAATCGGGCAACGCAAGCCATCGAGACGCTACAGAAGCAACTTGTCGAGGCAGAACAAACGCAGCGATCGATTCTCGTTAACAGCGACGCAAACGCTTTGCGTGCGGAACTTGAGATGATAGTGCAGACGAGCTCACGCCAAGTGCGTGGGCTTGAAGTGCAGTTGAGATCGGCGAAGGAAAGGACTGAATCGATGAGAAAAGAGCTGCAGTATGCTCAGGACAACAACAGGAGAAACGTGGAAATTGCAGAGAAGACGAAGACACGGGACTTGCAGATATTACAATTACAGAAGAGTGATAACGTCAAGCTTCGAGAGGAGGTAGCGCACGTGATGAGAATGAATGAAAGCCAGGATGAGCTGGTGGCGAATCTGCGTGCAACAGTGGATTCACTGTGGCAGCGGAAGGAGCAGGAAGCGAAGGAGCACACTGCCACACTCACACGGCTCTACCAGGAGGCTGTCGAGACGAAGGTGATAGAAGAGCAATGTCACTCAGAGTGGCGCGCTTCGTATGCCCTGCTTGAAGAAACCAGGAAGAACGAAGTGTCTGAGCGTGCAGCACAACGTCGATCTATTGGAAGACATCGCTAGAAAGATTTGAGTCACTCTCAAAATCAGCAGGTATGTTTTGCTTTACTCTGCATTGTCTGCGTTCTGTAGCGAAGACATCGAGTTCTCTAGTGCTACCCCGCAGCAAAACTGACGATGATGCAATTCTCTGTGTTGAATAATATGGTTGACTAGTGAGTACATGTGTTTCCAGGTCTACCTGGACTGGGACAGTACAGTGTATCGCTCTAACAGACATGTTCAATCGCGAGCATTTCGGATCTCCTTCTCCAGGTCTTGCACCTTCAAGCCCACGCGTCCTAATGACGACAACGAGTTGCGATACAAGTCATTCACACTACGGCGAGTCTTTGAGGTGCGATCGAGCCCGTTCTGCTTGACTAGACTCTCGCACACCGGCTGGCTGGCACTTCGACCTCGGTGCTCATCGAAGAAATCAGCGTCAAGTGAAGACCACTTAGAAGAGTTTCGTTCTCGTTGCTTCACGGAGGCATTATTGTCTCCAGCTAGTGCACGCTCCTTCTCGATGCGCTTCTTGTCGTCGCGCTCCTTCTGCAGCACACCAGCAATGTTGTTGACTACATCACGCATGGCCTCCGAGACACGCACAGCTTCAGTAAGAAGACGTGAGCATTTCCGCTCGACGTCGTCCACCCAGCGAGGCCGGTCCTTCGACCGTTCAAAACCACGAGACGCTGACTTCCAGGCGTCGCCATATCGTCGCTGCAGCTCTTGAGACTGAGTCATGAACTCGCCCCACCGCTCCGACACCAACTGCATCCGGCCAATGTACTCGTCAAGCTGCAGAATCGCCGCCTCGTAGCTCGTATCCCTGTCGACCACAGGACCACGGACAATGGGACTGTCCTCCCATCGCTTATAGGTCTCTGTAATCATGTATTGGGTCTGCTCCAGTTGCTCCAGCAGCGTCTGCTTCACCTCGCCGAACTCAGCACGTCGCTGGAGCTGCTGAGTGTACTTCAGCAGAGCAGCTTTATACTTCTCAATGTCCTTGTCGCGCCCAGCGATGGCATCTTTGTACATCTCAATAGCCTTGAGCAACTCCTTGTTCTCTCGGACCGCCCGCATGTACTGCTTGCGAGCGTGCTCAGCTGATCGTCGACGCTCCTGCACTTCTTCATGCAAGAGACGATTGCTCTCCTTGAGATCATGATAGTCACGGTCCGATTCTTCACGTGACTTTTGTTGAGTTTGCTTCAGTGTTTCAAGGCCATTTGATGCCTGAGCAAGCGCCTGCTCAGCCTCTGCAGATTTGGTTCGGAAATAGTGGATTTCTTCTTCAAGAGATCGTCGTTCATCTTCCTTCTCCAGTCGCAACTCTTCGTATCGTAGAGACCATGTCTTGTCCAAGGACTGTCTGGTGTCTTTAATATGGAAAGACGAGCGTTGCAGGACGTCCAGCTTGGCTTGACTGGCGCGTAGCTGGGACAACAAGCGCTCAAGCTTTGTGTTCGCCAAAGACGCTTGCTGCTTCCAGCGCGATTGTAGCGCTGATGCTTCGGCTTTAAACTCATCTTTCAGCGCTGAAATCGTCTCTCGCACAAGACTCAACAAAGACTGCTGGCCGTCACTATACACTCGGCTGCGGCTTGACAGAAGCGAACGGAGCTCCATCGCCACTGCCTCAAGCTCTCGCTGTGCTGACAAGCTCTCATCTTTCAACGAAGATGTCATTTGTTCCACTTCGTCTGCACGTCGACGCTCTTCGTCCAGCTGCCGTAGCAGCGTATTTTTCTCCATCGCAAACTGATTCTGCCACTCTGTCTGCTGCTGTTGAGCTGTAGACGCTGTCGATGAACTGACTGAGACTGCGTCAGCTAAGTGCTGCTCTAGTTCCTGTACACGAGCAGCTCGTCGAGCCAACTCATCGTCACATCCAGCCAGTCGATTCTGATACTCCTGCAGTTGCACAGATTGCCTCTCCAGTTCCAGTTCATATGCGGACAGATGCTGACGCTGTTCCCGGGCATTTGCGGCTTCGTTCGAGAATCTCTCTTCGCTCTCCTGGACCTTACGCTCCATAGCTTCAAGATCCAGCTGGAAACCTGACAATTCGGTACGCAGTCGTCGATTGTCTTCTTCCATAGCTTGGCGGTCCTTCTCCAGCGCCAGTAGCCGGTCATTCGCCGTCTGTTGGCAGCGAGACTCTGCCATATCACACTGTTCCTTCATCCTACGAGCCTCAGCTTCGGCATGTTCCAGTCGACTCTCCAGTGTCTTAGCTGTCAATTCCTGTTCATTTTCCATCTTGCGTCGCTGATGCAGCTCCGATTCAAGCTGGTGAATCGTGTCCAGAGCAGCTTCGCGCTCATTCTTGAAGCTATCCAGAGACTTGGTCTGCTCTTCACAAGCGGCACTTAACTTCACATTCTGGAGACATAGACGCTCCAAATCCCCAGCCACTTGCTGTCTCTCCTTCCTCATCCGCTCAATCTCAGCCTGAAGTCGACTACGCTCCTGTTTGATGCCCTCATTCTCCATGGCAAGACGTTCCTTGTCAAAGTGCGTCTTCTCACGGTCCGTCAGCAGTCTCGTGTGTTCGGTTCGGTAGTTTTCACTCTCACGTTGCAGCTGCTCCATCTGATGTTGAACCTGTTCCTCCATCCTCTTGAGTTTGGCCTGATAACGAGCATCCAGTGCTTGTTTCTCCTGTCTCATAGTCTCTACCTGTAGCTGCAGTGCTGTAAGTTGCTCTTCTCGCTGGTTACTCACAGCTTTCCAATGTTCCGCTTCAGCCGAGAGCTTCACGTTGGTCATCTCGACCTGCTGCAAGTTCTGCTGTTCTCTCTGGGTCCGAAGCTCCATTTCTCTCTGATCTCGCGTTCTAGCGTCCTCTAACTCCTGTAACTGGGTCATCAGTGTTGCCACAGCTTCTCTCTGTCGCTGCAGCTCTAAGCCCAGCTCCTGAGCCTTTAGTTGGCTCTGTTGCTCCTTGTACAGCGCAGAATCAAGTTCCACTCGCCATTTTTGCGCTGTTTCGGCGTCTACGCCACCTCGTTCTTCGAGATGCAGGTGCATCTGAGCCTCTGCTTGTCTTTGGGCCTCCTCTCGGGCTCTAGCGGCGGCCGCTTGGGCCTCATGCAGCTGCGCGTTGAGCATATCGATTGCCTCAGTGGCTCGAATCATACTAAAGTTTCGCTGCCGTAGCTCGTGGTCACGCTCTTCCAGTGTGATACGGAGCTGAGCAAGCTCGCTCTCGAGATCCTCGCTGGCGAAATCTGTGCCCTGCTTCATGCGCAGCAGACGCTCCTCTAGGAAATTAATGCGTAATGCCTGGTTGAAATTGTCCATACGCAGACGCTCGCGTTCAGCCTCCTGCTCACGCAGCAGCGTCGAGTTATCACGCGTGGGTGTCATGGGCGTCCCACCTCCGCCATCGCCCTCGGCGCGGGCGCGCTGCGGGGTCTGCATGACGAGGAATGATCTCCGATACTGCTCTTGGGCTATGTCTTGCTATTTTGAGCTTTGGAGTTTCGCGCGCGAATAACATGGATGGTGGACCAAAACCAGACCAAAAGTCGGACCAAAAAAATACTCTTAAATTTTTGACGGCAATCGATGTGGTCCACATTGTGGATGATTTGGATTCATTTTTGTAGCATGTCGCTAAATAGGGGTGAAAGGAATCTCAATAAACAACCAAAGCTCTCAAAGATGATCCTCAACCTGAGTGTTCTCCAGCTCTTCTTCTTGCCGCCTGTGCTTCTGCTGGTATCAGGCCTCGCGCTCTTCAACTTCCAGAATGTATTCCGCTTCCTCACTATGAGTGCGTCCGCTGCGTAATCTTGTTTGTTACGGTTGGCACTAACACCTCCGATGATAATTAGACCTCAAAAGCTACATGACGATCCCAGCCGTGCAAGCGTTCAAGCCCTGTGAGTCAGCAGTGTAGCCTATCCAGCTGCTGGTCAAACTAACGATTTGTTGTGTACTTGCTGTATAATAGACGCGGACAAGTTGCGCTACGGTCTGGAGCAAGTGTTGGGTACGTTTGCCAAGCATTTATTGATGCAGTGCAAGTTGCACTGTAACAGCAGAACGCTGACACTCCTGGCATTTACAGGCAAGGCGTCGTCGTTCAAGTTTAATGTGTCGCATGTGCTCATGATGGCGGTGGTGATCGTGTTGATCGCCATCTACGACGCCATCCAGAGGAACAATCAACTGCAAGAGCAGCAGCTCAAGCTGCGCCAGAAGAGCAAGCGCGCATAGCCAAACCGACCGAAACCTTTGCCCCGATAAACTCGAACTTTTCCGGGAGATTAAGCTGCCTCGTAACGCCACTCAAAAGAATTTTGAAGCTTACACCTTCTTTACTTAAGTCTTGAGAGCACAAGCGAGCTACCTAGAAGAAAAGAAAGTCATTATGCAGCTACAACGCGTCGATAAGTGCCGCAGTACGACATCAAACGCGTGTCAGTCGGTCGTTCTTGAGCCGTCGCTAATTTCCGCGAGCCACGCTGCATACGCTCTTGCTGGATGCCGACATATCGATACGGTGGTGGAATTTGTCGAACGAGCAGCGCTTACGCGTATAAACTGTCGATAATCGACTCGTTCTTCTCGTACACGACCTTGCGCTTCAACTTGAGCGTGGGCGTCAGCTCGTTGCCGTTGATGGAGAAGTCGTGGTCCAGCACAGTGTACTTGGCAACATTCTGCGCGCGCGAAGTCGCACGGCCGTTGGCGCGCTTCAGGCCTTCGTCCAGGTACGTCTTTACCTTGTCGTCAGCACGCGCCTCGGCGACAGTCGTAGCCGAGCCGCCGATCTCCTTCATTACATGCAGCGCCTTCTCGTCAAGCGTGTCCGTCGGCTGGCCTTCCTTGTCCACCGTCACACGCAACGTGAACAGAGCCGACAGGAACTTGCGACGGTCACCGATCACCATAACATTCGACAGTAGCGGGAGTTCCTCCTTGATCGTGTCCTCAATGATGACAGGAGGCACGTTCTCGCCACCCGCAGTGATGAGAAGCTCCTTGATACGACCAGTAATCGTCATGAAGCCATCCTCATCGATCTTGCCGCAGTCACCAGAGTGCAGCCAGCCATCCTCGTCAATCGTGTCCTTGGTCTGCTGCTCACCCCTGAGGTAGCCCATCATAATATTACGACCACCAAAGACAAGTTCGTCCGTGTTGGGCAGTACTTTAGTCTCCGATCCGTCAATGGTGCGGCCACACGTGCTGATCTTCCAATTGCCCTGCATACTGCACGTCTGCGGGCCACATGCCTCACTCTGGCCAAAGAACTCGTACACGGGCAGGTCCAGCGAGCCGAAGTACTCCACAACCTCCTTACTAATGGGCGCGGCACCACTGAAGCTGGCAATGCACTGGTCCAGACCCAGAGCCTCCTTCACACGCATGAGCACAACAGCGTTGGCCACACCAAAACCGCACGGAGCGCCTCCAGAGTTGCCATACTGAGCCAGCGCCGTCTTCTGAGCAGCCTTGTCCTTCGCCCAAGCCGCAATACGCTTCTTGATGCCCGTCGTCTGAGCCGCGATCGACCACATCTTCTCGGCAATCTTCTCCCACACACGGGGCACACCGAAGAAGAACGTGGGACGTACTTCCTTGAGCGTCACACCCAGAGAGCCCTTCAGAGCATCAGGCTGGGCGAAGTAGATCTGCAGACCACCGCAAATCGGCAGCCAAATGTCGATCAGCTGAGCAGCAACATGTGACATGGGCAGGTAGCTGACGAGACGGTCTCCGTTGTGCATTTGGTGGTTGAAGTTACGCTTGATCATGCCCACCACACTCATAATGGTCCAGACCACGTTGTCGTGTGAGATCATAACGGCCTTGGGGTCGCCCGTTGTGCCGGACGTGTAGATGAGCGTGCAGCAGTTGCCGGGCTTCTGGGAGTCCATGATCTCCTTCAGAGTCTCGTCCTTGACATCCTTGCCGAGTTCCATGAAGTCCTCGAACGAGTAGACAGGCACAGGCGACTGGGTGCCCTCGGGGACGACGTCGTTCCACATCACAAGAGCCTTCAGCTTGGGAAGATCCTTTGCGATGGCCAGGAACTTCTCCAGCTGCTTCATGCCGTCACAGACGACAACTCCCGAGTCCGAGTGCTTGGCAATAAACTCGCAGGCCTTAGGACTGTTGGTCGTGTAGATACCAGCGGCCACACCGCCAGCAAAGATTGCGCCGACGTCGGCGATGGCCCATTCGGGCGAGTTGAAGCCGATGATGCTCACGCCCTGGTAGCGTTCAAGGCCCACGTGCAGCAGTGACTTGGCGAACTGACAGCACTTGTCGTAGTAGTTCTGGAAAGAGTACGACGTCCTGCAGAATCCGATCCGATCGTATTAGACGAGACGCGAGCTTTGCTAATTGATCTCTTTCGCTACGTACCATTCGCCGTCCTTCTTGAAGTGAAGTGCGTTGGCTGAGCCATACTTGGCCAGCGTGTTCTGGAACGCCTGCGAGGCCGTCATAGCGGGACGCGCACCAGCACCAGACTCCGTCATGCGGATCTTCACCTCCTCGTCGATCTTCCACGTCTGCAGTGACAACAAGGTGTAAGGCACGCTAAAGCGTCAGACTAGGGCGCAAGTAAGGGCACGGCGACGCAGAATCGAGGGACGAACCGTGTATTCGCTCGCCATTGTAGATGCTGTTGGTCTCTCGATGGCCGGGATTCTTCTGCGTTTGGTGTCGCAAATTCCGCACTGGGGGAGATCGGGTCGACGTCTGGGCGGGTATTGGACGCCATAGTGAAACGGAGACCATCTTTTTATCTTGGTTTTTGTAGGACGAAACTTCCAGGAAACCCTTTCTTTTTCAACCAATCAACAGTGAGTCGAACCAGCGATACGTGCGTGGCCGGGGCGCCATCATGCAACAATCCCCCGACTTGATCTTGCAGGTTGTGATCACACTTCGAGTATTATGGCAAGCAACGCAAACTCTGCGTGAAGTAAGCCACCCGTGACGCCAAAGAGGAAACTATGATTACATGATTGCATCGCAGCCGAGTTTCCAGTCGTGGAGACGAATTGCAGTAGAATTGCTGGGTCATTATCGACGATAGGCAGGATTTGCTGGGCGAGGTCTTTGAGGCCAAGTCTCCGGAACAAACTCGTCGGGTTTGTCACCGGCTGCACTGGAAGCCGAGTCAAAAGCGAGAGTGGGAGCGCGGGAACGAGATCGAATGCAAGCTTCTGTTGAAGGCCACGTCGTGGCCGGGAGACGCTGAACCGGACGTTGCCCTGACAGCAGTGGCACAGCGGTGGAGCGGCGGAGCGGTGATACTATTGCCGATGTAGCTGTAGCACCTGGCAGACATTCCGATCGCCATGCTCATGCAATGTTTGTTAAACAAGGTGCAGCAGCAGCATCGGCTCGGCGAACACTGACCGCCAGACGACAGTACATGTACTCCAAGCAGTTTGTCCAAGGGCGACAACAAGGGCAATTGCTTACGCCTCCCTCCACGTTTTATATTCTGTTGAAATCGGCTGAACTCGGATTGCTTTGATCCTATCACTTCCCGAAGCCAAACTTCATTTACCCTTATAACCAGATAACTCACAAGAAATGTACATGTATCATTTTAATCGATGTCCTGATTGCGCGCACTTCAACATGGATGGACCCTCAAGTCTAAATAGAATCTATTTCAGGAAACGCTAGCTTGGGGGAGGGCGCGCGAAACGAGAAGTGCCGCCCCCGCAGTTCAGGCGGATGGAACCTTCTAGAACCTTCTAGAAGGCTCCACGGCCGCCCTACATATGCCTTTTTGTATTACATACTGAATCTATGTTAAACTAAGCCTGTCTCTGATTGGCTGAAACTCTACACCTATCATATCTGATACACTCACCCTCCCTCTGGCGTGCGCGTCCCCTCAGTCTTGTCATTCCCGAAATTGCGCTGGAGACCAGAGGTGCAGTTCCCTGACGGATTAGTCCGACCCCGTGTTTACCCACGCTTGCCTTGTGCGGGCCTGTTTACTTGGGGCGTGGATAGGTCCGTCCTGGGGGATGGCTGTGCCTCCTGCGTCTGCTGCTGCTGCTGCCACTAGCTCGCCTTCCGCCGCTCCCTCGCCTCGCTCGCCGACGCCGAGTGCTCCTGCTGCAGTCCCTGCTGTTCCGGCTGACATGGTCGATGCTCCTGCTGGTGCTGTAACTCCACCGTCACCTGTACGGGCTCCCGTTGTTCCCTCGTCGCCTGTACGGGCTTCTGTTGCTCCCTCGTCGCCTGTACGGGCTCCTGTTGCTTCATCGTCGCCTGTACGGGCTCCTGTTGCTCCATCCCCAAACGACGCGGCTGCTGAAGCTCCTGGCTCAAGTCTCATGCCTCCCCGTTCGCCTTCGTCTCCTGTTGGCTCCTCTTTGGCTGCGCCTCACTATGCCTCTGCGTCGTTGCCGCCCACCGTGCTCCAGCAACTCATCTACGAGATCACGATCGAAGGGTTGTGTGGAGATGACGTTGATGGTGATGTTGCGGCTGATGATGCTGGTGGTGATAGCGTTGCAGCTGAGGATGTTCCTCTTCAAGAGGTGGGATTGTTTAACGACGAAGATGAGGAGGACACCCAACGGACGAAGCGCGCTCGGCTTCGTCGTGGCGATGAGACGTCGGACTGGCATCCCTTTCCGCTTCCGAAAGCTCCGGAGAGACATCCAACTACGAACCATCGCAACCAATATAATCCGGATGCTCCTTGGGATTATGCGAACTCGGCTGGAATTACACGCTTGCTTGACGTCGAAGGGGAATCTCCGCACCGCTGCTATCTTGTTCAGTGGAAGGGTCGTCCGCTGCAGATGAGCTGGGTCTGGATGGAGTTGCTGGACAAGGAATCGACGCGGTACATGATGCAAAATGTCGACGAGTGGAAGGCTTCGGGTTCTGAAATAACATTCATGGGATGGTACGACGTTCGTGCTAGTGCTTCCGAAGCTGGTAAGTGTTTCATGGATGCGCTCCGCTGCGCGCTGTACCATCTTGGTCGGCCCAATCTGGTTACCATGGAGATGAGGGATGAGTATGAAAAAACTCGTCCCGAGGCGATTGCGTTTGGCGTATCTCGCGAAGACGTCACGGAGTTCTGGAAAACGCTTCAGCGCCAAAGTGTTCCGTTGGACTACGGCATCATGCTTCCCAATATTCTTCATGAATCCATCGGGAGTGTTGCGACTCTGAACCACTTCTTTGAAGCTTTGGTTCCGGGTACGTACTTGGTGAGCGCGGGCCAGGATGCCATCGGTCACTGTTTCGTCGTGGTGAAGACTGGTCCCAATGCTCGCCTGGTCGTGCTTGATGGGTACTCGGCTGACCACGATCCACCGATGGAAGTGTCTCCTCTCTCGAACTACCTTTGGATTGAGAGTGTAAAGTGGATTAGTCGTGTTCATCTTCAACTTGGGTACGTGTGTCGCCACGGCAAACGCACTTCGAAGACGGCGCGTAGCCGGAAGAGACGCTTGATGCAGCAGTAGCTTCAACTTGGAGGGGATGTAGTACGGGAATACATGTAGGTCTTTGAGCCCCCCCCTTAAGTTGATTTTACTTCATCTTCTCTTTCGTTTCTTGCGCCTTGCAGTCTCAAACTCTACGATTAGATCTGGGACTTGTGACAAGTTTTCAACCGGTTTCCAGGTCTGCTTCTCTTCTCCCACCCACTCCACAAGGAATTGGGTCCGTCGCTTGTGTGTCCTCTTCTTCACCAAGCGTTTGACGATCTGGCCGATACTTCCATCAGCCAGTACAACCTCGTTGGGTCGCGACAAGCGTGTCGACTCGCTGTACGGTTTTAGCGAACCCGTATTGAATACTGGGTGAAGCTTGTTGCCAGCTTGAATGTTAAGTTCGTAAGCATGGTTGTGTATCTTCCGCACAACAGAGTAAGGTCCAATCCACTTCGGACCGAACTTAGTGGATGCTGGCAGACCAGTGTGCTTGGGGTCCAAGTGTTTGGTGCTCAAGTACACACGGTCGCCAACCTCAAAGACTTGTTCTTGTCGGTTCTTGTCGTAAACATAACGCATTCGCTCTTGCGTTTGAGCAAGTGTTTCACGGCAGCGAAAAAGAATAGCTGCTTGGCGCTCGTGAAACTCAGCGCCTCGACGACTCTTTGTAACCGTATCGAGCTGCTCCGCTGCAAGCTGTAGCGGATTCAGCGGAATATACCCTAGATCCGCCTCGAACGGTGCGAGCTTAGTACTGGAGTTCACCGTTGAGTTGATAGCAAACTCAGCGTTCGCTAAGTGAATGTCCCAGTCGTCTTGACGTGGACTGACGAAGCATCGAAGATACTCTTCGAGCGTTCGATTCATTCGCTCAGTTTGTCCGTCGCCTTGGGCCCGGTGTGCTACTGTCATGCTGAGTGACGTACCGATAGACTTGAAGACGTGTTGCCAAAACGCAGACACGAATTTTCTATCTCGGTCGGATACAATATTCGTCGGCATACCGTGAAGTTTCCAAATGTTGTCGATGAAGAGACGGGCAACGCCTTCGGCTGTTACCTTCTTTGTTGTCGGCACAAAGCGACATCTCTTGGTCAGTCGATCGACGACGACCCAAATCGAATCAACGTCACGCTTCGTTCTAGGCAAATCCGTTATGAAGTCCATGAAGATCGATCTCCAGCGCTCATCGGGAATACTCAATGGTTCGAGTAAGCCAGGAGGCTTTGTCAGCCTTGGCTTGTTTCGTCGACATGGTTCGCAGTCAGCAATGAACGTTTGGATCGACTTGAGCATCTTGGACCAGTACCAGCGTCGTGCTAACGTCAAGTACGTTCGCTCGGCACCAGGATGGCCACTGTAGTTGGTGTCATGACTCTCCTTGATTATCGATTGTCTCAACTTCACATCGTTGGGAACAGCGATTCGAGGATGGTCATCAACCGGAGACTGGTACCACAGCAAGCCGTTTGCCTCCGAATAGTATCGGTATAGCTTGTGGTGCTGGTGTTTTTCCTTCGACTTTGAGGTGCTTGTACGTCGCTGGATTGCTGCCCGGATTGTCTGGACGTCTCGATCTTTGACGTAAGCACCCTTGATCCTCTTCAGCAGCTCTGAATCTGTAGACACTTGACTAAGAGCAAGACTGAAGGAAGTGTCGTTGAAGCTGGACACACTCAGGTCATGGAAATACTTCGTATCTGGCTGCAAGTCAGGTCTACGACTCAATGCATCCGCGATACCGTTCTTCGCACCTGGAAGATACGAGAACGTGGGTTGGTACTCAGCTAGAATGTCGTACCACCTAACCAATCGGCGGTTCGCCATCTTCTGTGTGAACAACCCTTCGAGACTTTTGTGATCCGTCTCGACGATCGGTGGTTTGTCCAAACAGTAAATTCGAAAAGCTGCTAGCGCGTGTACGATAGCAAGTAGCTCCTGCTGCTGTGTTGGATAGTTGAGCTCCGCGGATTTCATCTTTCGACTGGTATACGCAATGGGTCGCTCAACTTCGTCCACGACTTGGAATAATACTCCACCAACAGCGAATTTGCTTGCATCAGTGCGCAGATGCATGGACTGGCTGAAGTTAGGGAGGTGCAACACTGGAGGATTACACAGTCGCCTCTTCAGCTCCTTGAAATTCTTCAACTGCTCATCATTGAATTGGATCTTCGCGTTCCTCTTGTTCTTCTTCTTCAAGAGAGTGAACATTGTTGCAGTAAATGCTGCGTAGTCTGGACAAAATCGTTGGACGTAACCAGTCAGCCCAAGGAAGCTGTGAAGTTCCTCTTGTGTTCGTGGTACTGGCCAGTCCTTGATGGTTTGTACCTTGTCCGGATCCATCCGTACACCGTTGCGTCCTACGAAGTCCCCGAGACACGGAATCTCGTCGGCACAGAAGACACACTTGGCAAGCTTGACGTACAGCTTGTTGTCACGCAGGATATTTAATGTCTTGCGCAACGCCTTCAAGTGGTCGTCGATGCTCTGAGACTTCGTGAAAACGTAGATGTCATCATAAAACGATTTGGTGTTTTCCAAACCTCGGAACAGCTTTGACGTTAAGCGATGCATCGTCGCTGGCGCATTACAGACTCCCATGTGCAGAACAAGATACTCCCAGAGTCCATTTGGCGCTTGAAATGCTGTGAACTTGATATCCTCTTCACGCATACGTACTTGATAGTACGCGGACATCAAATCCATAGTGGAAAACCAGTACGCTCCGGACATCGCGTCAAGAATGTCCTCCTTCCTCGTCATTGGGATACTTTGACGTACAGTGTTGGAGTTCAAGTACCGGTAGTCGTGTACAATCCTCCAGCCAACTGGTTTTCGTACCCAGAAGGTTGGAGCAGCATGTGGACTGATGCTTGGACGGATGAGCTTCTTCTTCACCATGTCTACCACCCAACGCACAATCTCGCGTTGCTGCTCTGGCGATTGACGCCATTGTTGCCGATACATTGCAAGATTCGGATCCTCCACGTCAATCCTATGCTCAATCTCGCGTTTCTCGAGTAAACCTTCTGGGAGCTCAGGACGGAACACATTGTCCATGTACTCCATGAGTAACTGGTACGCGGGATTCCCCTTGAAGCTATCCCAGTCCGTATCCAGATACCGTTGTGCTTTCGCACTTCCGACGTTGTCGGGTTGATCTTGCCGTTGCAGTGAGCGAGCAACTTGCTTGATCGTCACGTTCGTCAGAACCAACATAAAGTCAGGTTCATCGATCGACTTGGTCTTGATTCTCAGGAACTTTCGTAGTTTCTTGCGAGTGATGAACTTCGTTTGGACACCAGCCTCGTCAACGACACCCATCGTGAACATATTTTCCACGACAGTGCCTCTGCCCCCAGTACTGCTGCTATCTCCAGCCTCTCGTACAGTACCGCCGCGTTTCGACAATTCCAAGTTGTCCTTCACCGCCGAACCCTTGCCGGCTGACGCGTCTCCTGGTTGTTCGCAAACAACACTTGGGCTCTCTTTCTGCGTTGCGTCGCAAACAATTTCAGCCGCGGACTTCACATCCGTTTCCAGCGCGGCACCTCGACAGGAATCGGGTCTTTTCGCCGATAGGCCTTTCGCCTCGACAGATCTCCGAAGCCCGGAGGCAATCACCGGTCCGCCTTCCTCGATCGGTCCACTGGTTTCCCCTGTTCGCTTCCAATGCAGAGTCTTCACTTGCGTTCCTTCGATACATCGACCTCTCCAGTCGATCTGCGGCTACATATCCTCGAAGAATGGGATTCCAAGGATGCAGTCGAATTCGTCGGGTATGGCGTAGACGACAGCGATACACTTGTATGCCTCGCCCAACCCAGACACCAGAATTTCGAGGGGAAGTACCTCCAGTTCCGTCTCGACAATCTGGTTGTCTCCAAGTTTCACACGAATGTTCTTACCAATGAACTTCGTGGCCTTGAGTCGATGTTTCTCGACCCACTGTCTGGACACGTAGATTGTGGTTGCTCCACAGTCCAACAGCATCCTTTGGGTCGAAATGGTCGCGCCACTAACGATGATTTCCCCCTTTACGGAGAGCAGTGGACGCGACTTGTAGACGAGAGGGTTTTCGCTCAGAACGTTAAGGCTGACATTCTCGAACTTGACTGATCCGACGTTCTCCTCCACGACAGGACCTTCATTCACTGACGTGGCTGCCCGTTTCCCTGCTTCTCTTGCTCCTTCTTCCAAAGGAAGCAGTTGGTCTTGATGTGGCCAGGTTTCTTGCAGTGGAAACAGGTACGACTTTCGGCTCGTTTCGAGCTAGTCTTCGCCTTGAAACGCCCTTTACCACGAAACGTTTTTCCCTTGAGCGACTTGTCATGACTCGGCGCGTGCTCAGTGGACGGCTTCCGCTTGTCTCGGCGAGTGTGACGCTCGCGCGACTCGTCGACGAAGTGTGTCACCTCATACTTGACCGCAAGGTTCATTGCGTCACTCAGGGTCTCTGGGTTCTCGAGCTTGACATAGCTACGCGTGCGCGGCTTGAGACCGTTCGCGTAGTATAGTACTTGGTCAAGCACGCTCATTCCTTCAACTCTGAAGATCAAGGCTGAATACTCGCCATTGTAGGTCTCGATGTCCGCTGTCTGCTTGAGGCGTTGAAGCTTCTCGCGCAGGACAGACTGGTAATTCGACGCTTCGAAGTGTTGGAGCACATGCTCACGGTAAAACCCCCAAGTGTGCTCCTCCGCTCGAGTTGTCGACGACCAGTGCAGAAACCACCCGGATGCTGGCTTTTCCATTGCCGATCCGGCGATTCCAGGAAGACGCGCGCTCGTGTCTTCAATTGGAATGTTGTTGATGCGGCAGGCGTTCTCGATCTGGAACAGCCATTCGCGGACGTCGTCCCCCCTCTTGCCCGTGAACTTGGGCAGATGGCTCGGCACTTTCGTGCGGTCGGCCATCGCTTGGTTCAGCCGATCGATCTCGGCGCGTAGCTGGGCGATTGTTGGCATGAACTCCTTCTGGTCAGGTTGCTGGGACCAACAAGTGCTACCAGTATTTCAGGAAACGCTAGCTTGGGGGAGGCGCGCGAAACGAGAAGTGCCGCCCCCGCAGTTCAGGCGGATGGAACCTTCTAGAACCTTCTAGAAGGTTCCACGGCCGCCCTACATGTGCCTTTTTGTATTACATACTGAATCTATGTTAAACTGAGCCTGTCTCTGATTGGCTGAAACTCTACACCTATCATATCTGATACAGAATCCCTTGACTCAAACATGTTGTTTTTCTCATTTTGGCTAGGCATTGGCAATGCCATTGGCATAATGCCAATGGCATCACAGCTGTACTGCACGCATGGACCACACTCTTTTGACTGCCGGAATTAGTTTAAGGATTAATTGTAGCCGCGAATTGTGTCCTTGGAGCCTTAATCGATGGGACACCGACCGCAGAGAATGTAAATCACGTCACCTTGGCTTGACCTAATAAACTTCGCTGGCTTCCGGTGTTTCCGTAGTCATCTGGCGTGGCGCGTGACTTCAGTGTTCCGATTCGGTACGGCTGTGCCAACCGTGCATCCTCCGTCATGAAGTCCATGTACCGCAGGAATTCAGTGAGATGATCGCCCATGTTTTCTCTCTAGGCTCGCACTTCAACAGAGACTTTCATGACACTTGTTTGGAATTTTTTAAAGGCACTAAAGTGTCACTGAAACGGGGCACTCGTATATTTACAATAGTGAATTCTCCACTTGAAGTCGACCGTCTCACTCACAGATACGAACATGGAGAAGGCATCCCCTCCGTCGAGCACCCTGGCGCTGCTAGTGGCACTGTGCCCGTGTCTGTTCTACTTCATTTGCTCGCTGGCCATGAATCTTCTCACAAAGACGCTAGTAACGACGTTTCAGTGGCGCTTCGTCTACACTTTGGGCGCCATCCAGAGCATCTTCACGCTCACAAGTCTCACGTTGCCGTCGACTGTGCGGTTCACTGGCATTAAACAGCAGTCTAGCGGTGAGCCTGCGAAGCACAAGCATCAACGTGTAATTTACGGTATACGCGTGTTGCTTCCATTGATGGCTCTACATTTGAGCAACATGCTGCTGGGCTTCGCGAGTCTGCAGGTGGTGAACCTGCCCATGTACGTCAGGCCTCCCTCCGCTCTGCAACGATTTATATCATATCGAATAACGCTGAATTGCTCATGTATCTTTTGTTTGCTACTCCAGGTACTTGGTTCTGCGTCGATTGACAACCATTACGGTCTTGCTGATCGAGTGGCTTGTGCTGGACAAGGTGCGTTGCTGCCCGTTACGTTTTCCTGAACTTCAGAAGTGCACACTTGCAGTAACGCTGTAATGTGCTGGCTCGCTAGGCCATTTCCGGGGCTGAACGTATTAAAAAAAATTCTCTTGACGCGCGGTAACTTGCTAACTGTTGCAATTCTGGTTCACGTGTGTTTAGTAAGCTCTGCTGGCAGCCTGAATGCAGGTAGTACCGACGTAATGTCCGATGGACGCGGGGGCTACACGCTGGTATTACTGCAGAATCTCTGCACTGCCATGTCCTTGGCATTATCCAAAGAAAGCGCGTTGACGCCTCACCAGCTCGTGATCCTCAACAGCATCGCCGGTGCAGTGTGTTGCTCCCTGCTTGGATTCGCCTTTGAACGCGACGAGGTGCTGGAATTTCCTCACTTCAATGATCCGCGTTTTGTCTCTGGAATGGTGATCATGTGTACATGTAGTACGTGAGTGCTCTATTAATTCTCCGTGCAGTTCTGTACTCTGCATACTTCAGCACTCACCACATCAGTAACTGGGAACATCAAGGACGTCTTTGCTACTCTTTGTGGCTACCTTCTTTTTCCTGATGCACCAACTCACTTCGCCAACTTCGTGGGGGTCGTGTTGTCCTTCATCGGCGCGTATTCGTTCTCGTACATCCGTTACCGCGCGTTAGTTGGGCCATCGCCGTCGCATCAGAAGCAACTATGAGAGTTACAGATGATTTATTTTTCAACAAGTTTTGGTATAATCTCATTTAAGCAGGTTCGTATCAATAAATCATCATTCACTCCACAGAGCTCTGTGAGCTGACCTCAAAGTGGCTGTCGGTATCGTCGTAGCTGTGCTCCAATGGGGAAACACCTGCACAAGACACGAGAACACACAGTTAGAGCAACACACGGCAACGTAGATCCACTCAATAGACAGGTACGCACATCCGTCACGTGGAGAGGACGTCTGTGATACATGATCGACATCTTCATTGGCATCTGTCATCGACACGCTGTCGAAGTCGAAATCCAAGCTGCTCGAGCTGTCCTGAAGCGGCTCTGGGGGTAAGGAGTGCACTCTTCGAGCAATCCCCTTCCCCCGTCTACCAATTGGTGGTAGTTGGTGAGTAACAGGAAGCACTTGTTGCTGCTGAAGCTGTTGATGCGTTCTTTGCATCTGCAGCTGAGCCTCTCCTTCAACGCGTTGACTTTCTAAGAACGCCCTGAACTGTCGAGAAGCACTCGGAGGCGGTGTCCTGCTACTGGTCATTTGTATACCGAAACTACTTGGCGCGTCAGCTGGCAGATCTCCAGCCATCCACGACTTTCGTCGCTCCTCAAACGTCCAAGCGGACCGTTTTCCCTTCTCCATTGCAGCAGCAAAACCCGGGATGTTCTCCACGACATCAGAAAAAGTTACTTCTGGACTGGCCGGAGGCAAATGTGATTCCCAATCTGTGTAGCTCGTCAAAGGTTGACTGGCACGCCAGACGGCCGCTTGACGAATTGCTTGAGATAGTGAGCGCATCAACTTGGCGTTGTCGCTTGTGCCGGCCGAATGCTCTTCAATCTCGTCCAGAAACATCCGCTTTTGACGCGTTGGCGTCGCTTGTCCCAGAGAGATCATAGGTGACGCCAGACCTGCCGTAGTTGAGTGATCTCGCGTGTTCGTACCACTGAGTAAGCTGCCTACGACCGTGGTCTGTTCGTCTTCATCGTCTTCATCAGCCATTCTCTCATCATCGGCTTCGCGTCCTGTATCGTCGTCCTCCTCCTCTTCACTGCTCGACGAATCTTCCCCTTGGTGCGGGTCAGGCACTCCGAAAGTGTCGGACGTCTGCTCAGCAAGTAGCCGACGTAGTAGCAATCGTTTGGAGACTTTTTGCTTGATAAGCGGACGCATGGCCTTCCGCACCCCTTTACTCGACCAGGCCTTCTTGATAGAGTTCTCGTGTTCACGGGACAGCATGACGAATTTACCGATCTTGTCGTCCACGAGTTTCTCTCCGCGATCCAATTTTCGCAGTACGCGGACCAATGTACTCTGAATCGTAGCGATACTTCGATCGACATTGGTGTTGTCGATCTTGGGGATGAGACACCGATCTGCGTGCTTACAAAGATGACGCTGGATGATGCGGATGTTGTCGAAGTGTTTAATGTACTTGTTCTCCTGCGGATCGATGGTCATGTGGCGCGCACGTACAGCGAATCGCTCGCGGTGTTTGTTCTCGTTGCTGATGTAGATCATGAACGGTACGCATGTCGGGTGTTTTTTTACAAGCGTCAGCAGGTCATCCATGTTCAGATGCACTCCCTCCACCACCAGAGACTGCTTACGCTCTTCAAACATCGTCAGGACACGGTCAAGTTTCTCCAGTACGAGGTCTGACTGCATCTTGTAGCCCTTCAGCACCATCTTTTTGTGCAATCTAGCAGCTGACATATCTTCTCGATCTCCTTGAAGAGCTGCAATCATCTCAGGCGACAAGGCGTCTCCAGCTTGGTATGTGGATACGAACGCGCAAGGGTTTTCTTCTTTGGATGTGAACGATCTTAACACGTGACGTACTGAGTCCGTAGGCAACACAGTCGTAAGTCTCAATCTAGCTGCCAATAACGACGCCAACGTCGACTTTCCCGTGCCAGATGTCCCTCCAAGTAGCACGGCAAAGCTTTGATTCCTCTGAGTAATCTCCTTGGCCACCTCAAAGTCCAGCAAATGGTGTGGCTTGACGTAATCCAATCTCGCCAGCGACGAGTAGATGCATTGGTGCAGTAGATGCCAGGGTAAAGGCATGGAGAGTTTCTGTTCCTCTCTCTCCTTGTCCTCTTCGTCGTCGCTGTTGTTGCTGTATAGACTGCCACTGCTACTGTTGCTCTCTCTGGACAAGTGCTTACTGAACACAGCGAAGACCTCCTTCGTGACAGTGACGGCGTCTTTTGGTCTGCAACCCATGAGCATGAGTGTCTCCTGTAGCCGATAGCGTGTGAAGCTCTCGCGCTGGCCCTGTCGCTTGACGTGCAGCAATTCCATGGGGTCGGAGCCGTCAGCCTCCGTCTCCACGGCGTCCATGGCGGCCGACGGCGCGAATTTCCTGGACGACGCCAGTGGCGAATGCACAGGCACGTACTGGGGAGCTGAGGATCCGAACGCGGGGACGGGGGCGTGGCCGGTCACCTTGGTGAGTCGTTTCCCAGATGGAAAATGGTCTTGAGGCTCACCTGGTTAAACAGAAATGAGCCCGGCTAAGTGCGACGGATACGAGCAGATATGTCATACCTTGGAATGCAGAGAGGTTACCAAACTAAGATGTATTTTTAAATTATTCGGATAAGTTTTACCATGGTCAGTGGCACTTGCTCTGTACTTATTTGGCACAAATATCCGTGGTCTTTATGATATTTGGGAGCTTTTATAAAAAGTAGCCTGCAAACTGCCTAGTTTTAATAAAACAGTTTAATATTGTGAGCTCCGACCAAATTTGCCGTTTTGGTCCTATTCAGTGAGTCACTCAAATTCAAATTTCCTGTTATTTCAAACCGGCCCATCTCATACTTAAGTGGATTTCCATTTACAGTAGGACAAGGAGCGTTTGCGCGTTCATTCATAGAATCCAATTCGGTGTACACAACACCAAATTTCAGCACACTGTCGTGACTGTCCCTCTGATTGTGTCCCTTTCAAGTGAAATTCAAGGGCAACGGTCCCATCAACGCGTCAAATCCTGGTCGCCATCGGCCAAACTTTGGCCCAAGCGCGTCGAGCCAAGCCAAAATCCGACGAAAGCGCGATCTCCACTTCGCGAGGACAGAGATCCGCGCGTCCGAGAATCGTGTCCCGTTTCTAGCGACCCAATACCGGTGTCCAACAGTACAACCACCGTGGCTGCTGCACCACTTTAGGTCACTTCCTCGTCCATACTAAACTCAGTATCTCGGCTCTTCGTGGCATCGTCCGCAAGTCCCCCGCCAGCTCCGAGAGCAGAAGCAACAGTATCAAGTGAAGCTTCTTCTCCGTAGCCATGGCGAGCAAGCGCCTGGACGCCGTCAAGCTGGCCAAAAGCTCGCGCTGGGAGGAGCTGCGGCGCCTCGTGGACGCCGAGCCGGCCACTGCGCAGCAGGTGGACTCGTACGGCATGTTGCCATTGCATTGGGCCTGCACAGAGCCCCAATCCATCGGTGAAGGCGTGTTGCTTGCCCTTCTCAAAGCCTTCCCAATGGGCGCTCGTGCTCTCAACACCGCCGAGGATGCTGCCACTACAGATTGCCATCAAGGCTCAGGCGCGTATCGAGTGGCTACAGGCGCTGTTAGCCTCATACCCAGATGCAGTGCTCAAGAAAGCTCCAACAGGCGAGAACGCCGTGCGGCTTGCACGCAAAGCTGGCCTGCCCAGTCGCAGCATTAAGTTACTCGAGGAGATGTACCACCACGTGTGCGCCAAGGAAGGACTACCTGACCAACTGGCCGTGGAGGAGCAAGAAGCAAAGTTGCAGCAAGAAAGCCATCAACTGCAACACGAAGAGGAAGGACAACTCCGACCTTCTGAACGATTTCAAGCCATCGCAGGAGATCTCCCCGTACCGCAGCGTGTCAGCGGCGTGCAGTATGGGCAGCGCCAGCGCCGACTCAGCAGCACGGCGTCGCTCAAGTTACGATCTTTTTCAGACAACGATTTCTACGCACAACAAGCGAATGTAACGCTAGGCACACCCAACGTGGCACCCGGACCCGCTCCCAGTCCTTGGTCCCCACGAAGAGCAACCGAGAGCTCGAGACTGCAGTCCATCGTATCGCAGAGACCGTCGACTACCGGTGCTGCGAGGAGTAATACCGTCTCCCTACCGCCGCGCTGGATGAACGCTCCCAGTTGTAGCATTTGTGCACAGAAGTTTGGTACATTTAAGAAGCGCCACCATTGCCGCAATTGCGGCCAATCCATCTGCAGAGACCACTCGGCACGTGAACGCATGAAGCTGCCGCACTACGGACTCAGCGATCGTCATCGTGTGTGTGTTGTGTGTCACGACATGCTGCGGAATGCGAACCGACAAGCGAGACAGCAGCAGATTACGATACAGGCAGCGCAACGAGTGGGCCAGCACACGCGCATTAGTCAGGCTATGAGTGGAGACGCTCGTCGTTCGGATGAGGCACAGCGCTCCCCTCCGAGTATGCTGGAGCGTCACGTGTCCGCTCCTGCGCGAGCTTCAAACTCCGCTGCTGGACCCTACAGAACTAGAAACGACACCGCAATCAACGAACAGGTCGCGAATCTGCAGAAGCAGGTCTCGCAGCTGATGGAGGAGAAGCAACAAGCAGAGATGCAGCTGCGTGTGCAGGCTGAGATGCTGAATGACCCAGATCGACTCACGAACGGCTCTCGGGGCAGCAACACCAGTGGAAGTAGCGGTACTGGAGGCCTGCCAATCTCTCGCGACCGCCAGAACTCGCTGCCCATGCAGGTGCGTACAGGATCTACTGCAGCTGCACCACTCAACACTGGCCCAGTGCCCAATCCGGGTATTGCAATGTATCGCTCTACGGGTCAATTGTTGAACCGAACGCAGAGCGCTGGCAACTTCCGACCCGCACGCGAGATAGATATCGATAGTCCCGACTTTGGAGATGACCAACCTCAGCAACCTCAGCAGCCGTCTCGGTCCAATTCAACTGCAGTAAATCCGGCACTTCAAAGGACGACAAGACTGCAGGACGCACTAAACACGATCGCTGCTGTAGAGTCCACGTACGACGACATTGATGGCTCGGATTCGGACTCGGATATTGAGGGACGACCGACAGATATTGGAGATCTTCACGATGCCGAGGCAGACGCTGAGGCTGAGATAGATGACGTTGCGAAGGAGTATCTTATTGACGATGAAGATGAGGACGATGATGACGACGAAGAAGCCGTGGTGGAGGCCGTGAAAGCTGCCAATGCTGTGCAGGACGAGGGCGAGACAGAAGCGGAGAGCGAGGACGATGTTGGCAGCGACACGTTGCCAGAAGTGGACGTGCTAGTGAATCTCGGACATGTGATGATGGAGAAAGGCAGTGTGAGTGCAGCAGTGCAAGCTTTCACACGTGCCGTGGAGATCCGACCGGATGATCCCGCGCTTCATTCGCTGCTTGGACGTGCGTATTATGCTGACGAGAACTTGGAGGATGCCGTGGCTTCTATCGCCAAGTCACTGGAGCTGGAGCCGTCTGCCACTAACTCCACGTTGTTGGGCAAGATTCTGTTCGAGAAGGGAGACCACGAGAAGGCTATTGCAGCCTACCAGCAATCCCTGCACATGCAAAAGTAAGATGAAGTAGGTAGGTAGATGTGTGAGCAGGACGCAGTAGTGGAGATTTCAGACCGATAGATAAACCGTCGAGCAGTAAGAGTTTGTTTCTACTGTAAATCATCGCACAAGTTTGATATCCATGTTTGGAACCGACAAACGACGAGCCCTACGCTCACAGGGATGGTAGGTTTTACTCAATCTCAGGTTTTGCGTCTTGATTCGCGCTTCTAGCGTCTCGGCGCGTTACCTTAGCTTTGAGCTTTAAAAAGCCCGAGGCGCAGCGTCTGGATCTGGGGGAGTTCGTCTTTATGCTGTGGCTGCGTTGTCGAGGTGTGGCTGTTCGACTGCAAAGAACCTTCCTCGGCTCTTAAATTTGCTTCGTCGTTGGGCAGTGGATCAATACGTGGTGCAGCTGTGAAGCGGCTAGAAATTTTCTGCAGTTCTTGCGGCTGTGGCTTTACTTGTAACAGGGCCTGCGTGCACTTCCTGAGATGCGGGACCATGTGCGATCTTGGCCTGCCGTCGATGTGTCCACGGCAGTAGCGGAAAAACCGCTATGGGTTTAGTGGTTGGGCGTGTTCGGGGTATCTTCTCAAGGTGCGGACTTCCCTGTCCACCTCGGGCAGCAGCAACTCTCGCTGGCATTGTTAAACAAAAGGTCGATGTAGGCAACTCGGATCTCGCCGTTAAGCTTCGTTTTTTTTTAAGTTGGGACAGGCATTATGTACTCAAGATGCACTAAACTGCTTCGTTGAATCTGAAGACTTCCTCGTGACGACACCTTACAGAGAAGGCAAACTTCGCTCGATCTCGTCGTCCGGCACTCCGAGATCCTTCAGCTTGATCCAAACGGCCAGCTTTTCCGCCATGAACTCAGCCTCCATCGCCTTGGCCCGGTACTTGGCGACGTTGGTTTTGAGTCTCATAAGCTCCAGGCGCTGCAACTGGGTCTGGGAGCGCAAACCTTGAGGTTGCGGGGATTGGATCACCAACTCCAAGCCTTCCGCAGCCACCTCGGACTCCAGCTCGACGTCGGACGCTTCTTCGGACGCTGGAGTCGTTGGCGTTAAGCTACTCCGCTGGATCTGAGGCCCTTGTAGTTGCTGTTTCACGGATGGTGGAGCCTGCAGGCATTTCTTGAGAAGATGAGGAATCAGGAACCTCTTCGGTTGCCCCCTGACCTGCTCGTTGCAGTAGTTGCACTTGGCCTTCGGGTGCGTTTTGGAGCTCGTTCGCGGCTCGATCTCTTCGAAGTGTTCCCACACTGCGTGCCTCATTGAGCTGTCACGATGCTGCCAACGTGGGCGGAGAAGCAAATGTGAGCAGGAAGATGCCAAACCTGACTTAGTCAGGTTCTGGGGCGTCGGTAATTCGTCACTACGTGAAAATTATCAGACGCATTCAACTGCAACTTTCCAATGAAAAAATTGCTCTATGACCCCAGGAATTTGTTGCTGAGAAGGCAAGCAAGCATTAATGTCTTTCTCCGAAACTCCACGAGGTTGCAACTTGATCCTGCCAGCAAACGTTTCCGCAGCGAAACGAGCCTCCAACGCTGCATTCGTGAGCCTTTGTCCGGTACTTCGCAGTTTTGGGTTGCAGAGTTTAAGCCTCTCGGACTTCGCATTAAGGTTCTGCTCCACTTGAAATGTTCAAACTCCAAGCCCGAACAAATCCAGCTTGGCAGCAAACTAAACCAAAGGGGTACATGTCGACTTGCAAGAAGTGTCGAAGCTCCGAACTGAAGCTAAATATCGCACAATGCAGCTCCGATTGCGTGTCCGAATGTCCTGCATTACCCATAATCATGCTCTACGCCACCATCAGTCCTCTTGTTTGTGTTGTCTCATGCTCGGTCTTCTTGTTGGTCTTCTCGGTGCCTTCCTCTCATCTGTATTGTTTCCAGTGCATCATTTGGTCTCGGGTATTCTACCGTTTCCCGAATGCAATGCTCGTGCGTATTTTCCAACGGCGCTCGACCTTGGTGGGACCTTGACTAACGTTATACAAAAACAGTTCAAGCTGAGAAAGGATCCGATCATGGCGTCTAACGGTCTCCGATGCTTTCGCTCGTTGTGGGGCTCGCCAACCGCCTTGAAGCTCGCGAGCGACAGCACGGCGGGGTCCACGGGGTCGTATGCGCAGCACTTGCTCGCGCATATTCGCCGCCAAGGGTTTGACGGGATCGAGGCGAGTCTCGGAGACTTGAAAGCTCTTGGTGGTACAGATGTGGTGCTGCCATTACTTGCTGAGAATAAATTGGAGCTGATCGTGGGCGTCTACTCGGGCTGGGTGGACTATGAGCCTCAGAATCTGAGCCAGCAGTTCGAGGGCGTGGAAGCCCATGTCAAGCGCTTTCGCGAGCAGCTAGAGACGGTCTCGAGCTTCAGTCAACGTCCGGTGCACATCAATGCGCACTCGGGTAGCGACCACTGGGTGAACAGAGGGAGTTCTTGAGTCGTGTGCATGAGATCGAGCGGGAACTTGAGTGCCACGACATTCTGGCACACGAGACTCACAGAGGACGCATGTTCTACTCGCCATGGCCGACGCTAGCGTTGCTGGAGGAGTTCCCGGGCTTGAAGCTCACGTTGGACTTAAGTCACTGGTGTGTGGTGACGGAACGTCTGCTAAACGCGCCGGAGGACGAGGAATGGCTGCTGAACAAGGTCGTGCCTCGTGTTCGCCATGTCCACGGACGTGTGGGGACGGAGCATGCGGCGCAATTACCGTATCCTCTCGATGATGAGCTGTCGCGGAATGAAGTCGAGCGATTCCAAAAGCTTTGGGATGCCGTCTGGACCCACCAGAAGGAAGAAGCGATTGGGAAGCGCCCCACGTTCACGCCAGAGTACGGATCCATCCCGTACGCCCCGCGCCACCACGACGACCAGCAGTTCGAGGCATACAACGTCGACGAGCTCTGTGCGCAGCAAGCGGCAGCCCAAAGGCAGAAATTCGATCGCGTGATGCAGGACTAAATGGCTTCGCTCATTGAGAAAAAAGCCTCGATTGGTGGGACCTGATAGCTCACATTGCACTCACCTGATTGAGTAATTCTTTGTTCTTGATCACTTCAATGCATGTCGACTTGTGATTGGTTACAGACGTTGAAGTGCTCTGCTGCAATCATTTAAAGTGACGATCACTGGAGCTAACATTGGCTGAAAATGTCCTATCTCTCTCTCAGCTGATGGCTTGGTGTCGTCACCAGAAATAGCGGAACTGACTTACTTCGCGAGGACACGCTTGACGGCTATCGGCAGACCTACCAGCCACCGTATAGTGTCCGATTTACGGCAATGGGTAGTGCGGTTTCGATTGGCAAGAGGGACTCCAAAGCCAGTAGATTCGCAACCACCAGCGTGATTCCTACCATGAAGTCGGGAAACAAGTCGAAGCCTCCGCTCCCGAGTGGTGAGATGGCGGAATCGAAGCGCAAGTTAACTATGCGGCATACAGTTCGTCTAGACACGGAAATAAAGCAGAAGATCCAAACAATTGTGCTCGACATGTCGAAAACGAGTCGAGTCGAGCTGACGTCCTCGGTGGATCGAGAAGGTTCCGGTGTACCGACGGGCACGCTGACGCAACACGGTTTGCTGCCCTTACACCACATTCCTGAAATTGTTCTCTCAATGCCTCACCTGACAGAGCTCAACCTAAAATGCAACGACATTTCAGTGGTGCCCAAGGAGATCGACGCTCTCGTTGCTCTTCAGGTTCTCATTCTGTCGAAGAATAAAATCACTGTACTTCCTGCCTCCCTGACTAAACTCACAAGGCTTCGTGTGTTGGAAGTTGTGAGTAACCAACTAATTGCGTTGCCTGAATCTCTGGGGAAACTGGAATCACTTGAAGAACTTCAAGCTAATCGCAACGAGATCGAGAAACTACCGGAAAGCATTGGATTTTGCATAAAGTTGCGGATTCTCAACGTGTATAATAACGCGCTCATTGAGCTTGGGAAACCCGTCAGTATGCTTCCAGAATTAGTGGAACTGAATGTGAGTAACAACCAACTCAGGCAGCTCCCAAACGAATTATTACAATGGAAGAAATTACAGCGATTATTGCTTCAAGTGAATAACCTCGAGTCACTTCCAGCACTTGACAATTTGTGGCGTCTCGAAGTTTTGCAAGTGCAACAAAACGCATTGAAATCTTTACCCAGCATGGGAAATCTCGATCATTTGGTTAAACTCGACGCCAACAGCAACAGCATTACAAAACTGCCAGCAGAAGTTGCTCACATGTCGGCACTCACGCATCTAAACCTTCGTCGCAATAAGCTCGAGGAGATTCCTCCCCAACTCGCACGGTGCCTGGCATTGGAGATCTTGGATCTTGGTGAGAACCCAGTTACTTCATCAATTCCGGCAGGTTTTGCAGAGCTCTGCAAGCTGAGAACTTTACTGCTGGACGGAGGCAACATCACCGTTCTTCCGATCGAACTCATCGGCCTCCGTAGTGTCTGTCGTGTACACTTGGGTGGTTGCTTGAAAATGGACGATCCGGAGACTTGCGAAGTGGTTCTGGGACTCAAAGACAGCTGCAGTCGTAGAGGAGGATGGCTGAAGATTGGAGACCGAAAGACCGAGCACCGAACTGAGAGTATGTCCTCGGACATTTGGGAACTGTATGATGAACTGGAAGGTCAAATACCCGATGAACCTGCACGGAAGAGTAGAGTTACAGGCGGCGAAGGCAGCTCCGACTTCTTCGCTGGTAGAAAGAACCCCACTCAATGCAGATAACGTGAGGACTTAAAGTTGAAGTCAGTTGGAGTTCGCAATTCTCGTTCTACAGCTTGCTTGATGTCGGTCCAAGTTACCGATTTAAATCGTGTGGTTTGAATCATCCTCCTATCTCCCAAGCTAGTTTCGTCTCTGCTTTTTCGTGTGCCCTTGGCGCTTCTGCGAATTTATATATTCTGCTCAAGCTGGTGGAGTTGATCGATTGCAGCGATTGCAGTGGGTATTCTCGACGGATTGTCGTGCATCAGTGGCTGTAAGAACTGCGCCCGCTCTCTCCCTGTGCCGTACCAACTCCCGTACACTTCATCCCCGCAATTTTGGATCAACCACCCAACAGACCAAACGTCCACAACAGTGGAGTGGCTGCCATCACTAAAGATCTTGGGGGGCGTATTCAGCTCGGAGTCGTGTGATAAAGTCTGAGGACTTAATGCGGCGTCCATGAAATCTACCAGAAACCACGAGTTGTCGTCTCTTGATAACATAGGCTCACCAAAACTAAATGTGAGCTCTCGAAACGGAGCACCGAACTTATTGGTCTCAGTGGTGCATGTGAAAACGGACGACCGGAAAGACTTGGAAATCGGTTGTGGGACTTTAAGAGCTGAGGAGGATGGCTGAAGATTGGAGGCTAAAAGACCGAGCACAGAACGGAAGAGAACTGTAGAATTACTGGTAGCGAAGCAATTCCGTCTTCTTCGCTGGTAGACTGAAGCTCACTCAATGCAGACAACTAAGTTGAAGTCAGTTGGAGTTCGCAATTCTTGATGTTTGATGTGTTCTACGACTACCTTTCTGTCGGTCTAACTTGGTGGATTACGATGGTACGAGGACGCCGCCAGCTCTTGCTGTTGAACGTGTATTTTCTGCACTAACGCCAGGCACATGAACTGCTTTCGCGCGAGTCTCCGTACCTCTTTGAGGAAGACAGCCAACTCCATCTCGTCGTTGCTCAACGCACGATCCATGTAGTACAGCGCGTCCTCCATCGCATAATGTTCTGCCAGTGTCTTGATCATCCTGCTCAGCCGTTTAAAATTCCTTAAATAAAATACCCTTTACATCGCACATTAAATATTCATATAAACGTACTGTTTGGACAGCGCCTCGCCTTCGACCAAGATCGTGTCTGGGTCCACTGTGTCCTTGCCCTCGTTTTCCTCTAGCCATGCCGTAACCTCTGTATCCTGCGTCTCCACCACACTTTTGGCACGCGCAATATCGTCACGAAGGAAGCGCAGCGACTGCAGACCGCGCTCTACATTCTCCCGCGACTGTGTCAGCTGGACTTCATGCTCAAACTGCAGATCAATATCGTCTCGCACACGTTTGAGCGTTTTCTCCAGCTGCATCTGGATTTTGCCTGTCACTTCGACCTTTAACGCCGCCGCACGCTCTTCCGGCCTCGCCTCATTCGACGCATAGACGCCAGAATTCGACGAGGAGGACGCTCCCAGAGACTGCTGACTGGCCCCAAAGAGCGAGTTTTCTTCACTTTCCTGTCGAGAATGAGACTGAAACTGCGAAGAATAATACGGAGACGGCTGCGGCGGATGTGACTGGGCATAAGAACCTTGTTGGAAGTAGCCGCCTGTGCCGCTACTGGCTGCAGAGGCACCGCCGTTGACTCTGCTCTGGGGTCTGGAGGCCGCCGGTCGACGGAATACTGGCGGCATATTACCAAAGATACTGCACATGTGAGCCACGAGCTCCAGCATCGTAAAGTCCGGTCGCCAGTCGCTGGTGTACGGGATCTTGACGTACCCGTCGCTGGTTACGTGTGGGTGGCCAGGTTTGACCATCATGTCGGCGGTAGGGCGCACAAAACACACGGGTGGGGCCATAGGATACGTCTCTACGACCCAAAACTCGACGGGGATGTTGTACTGATTGCCTCGGTAGAAAATGGGAATTGTACCCTCCAGGTTGAGCAAGGTGCTGGTTGTGCCGTCATTATGAGCTGTTCAAGGGTAAATTTGTTGATTTTTCGAAGTCAATTCGAAACAACAGCTCTTTGACGTACCGAATGTGCCGCAATTGGGCTGCAACGACGGGATCTGACCGAGCAGATTGTACACGTCTCCACGAACACGAGAACTTTGCTGTAGATAATGGGAGAAGGGTGATTTAGAAATGCGGGAAAGAGAGGAAGGAGACGCAGTGAGTCGTACGGGGTAGCACTGCAGCGACGACAGGATCTGGTCCAGGTTGCTCACGTTGTTAGCGTACATGGCGGCAGCTCCGGCAAGTGCAGCCTGATACGCTTTTTCCCCTGGGTAAAGTTGGGTTTGGTTAAGTTGCGCGATTGGCTGTACAACTTAAGAAAGCTAGATTTTCTCAACTGGATGTTCCTTAATTAAATTCGTACTTAGTGGTAAAGTGACGATGACGTTGAAGTGGAAGTGAAGGCTGAAGCCTGAAGGATCGCTGCACCACCCGAAGCGAAGAGATGTCTGCGGTTGCGTTGTCTCGCCTTGCTCTCGATAGTTTCCAGGGCCTTACGACGCAGGAATGGCGTGTCTCGAGGACTACCGATGACGACCTCTGCGTCTCGGATCTGGTCCTCACCTTCGAATACCCGAGGACTTGGTCGTGTCCTGTTGGCTTCGACCTGCATCTCTACGGCGGCGTAGAACCGTACCAGCTCATGGAAGAGCGCGAGACGCAGTGCATTGGACACGTAGTAGTTACCTCGAGGCAAATTTGGCAGGAGACGACGCAGTTCGGACACCAACGAAGCCGAAATGGGGATCCCCACGACCAGGTGAAGCATGATTAGATCAGGTTGATGATGTTTGGGCTTACCAGGGAAGCACTGGGAGCCAGGCAGTACGTAGCCGTCCAAGCTCTCGGGTGCGACGTGTAGCTCGTCTTGAGAGGCTTCTACTCTCCGCTCTCTTATTAGCGTTGAGATTTGATCAGTTTGGCACCATACGTCTCGCGTCTGGACAGGTTTCTTAGGCTTATCATCTCGAATCACAGTGTGGATGGTCATTGCGGCTGCTACTGCCGTCGTTCTAGTATCTGGAGGTGGGAGCATCTGGGTTAACTGTTCGTGAATAGCTTCAATCTGCGTCCTGCCACGTCCGTGGCGCTTCGCCGACGTCGACATGGCCAGAATAGCAGCGCGCAGAAGCGTCTTGAGTGGCGTCGCAGGGTTGACAGGCCGAGTTGGATCCACTTTGGGTCCTATTGCCGGACCGGAGTGGTGCCGTAGGGAGTTATACAGAGCTTTTAGCGACGCCTTCGTGTGTTGCAAGCGATCATTGCGCCTTGCTTGCTCTGCGTGAAACTTGCTCTGTATCAACCGCAACAACCCCTCAATTTCCATTCGATGACGCTCGTGTTCAAGAGCTTGGCGTCGTCCATACTGCTCGAGTATCAGTCTTTTGTAATCCTGAAATCCATCAACGTATTGCTGCTTGAGAGCCGCAACTTCGCGCTCGTACATGGTATGCAATGCATCCAGCTCCGAACGAGGCACCAGGTGAGACACAGTATCAACATCCGGGTGAGGCGCTACAATAGCATCCGAGCGAGGAGGTGCCACATCTCCACTCACGGAAGCAGGCACGGGTTGAATTGCGTTCAATGGAGATCGAGTTGGATCTTCGTACTGTGCTATACTCTCGTCCACGTCCAGCGTCGTATCGCTCTCGTCAGTGCAAGCAAGGGGAACACCTCGGCCACCACACGCTGCATTGCGTCATTGAGCTCGCGCTCGTCCTGTTCTACTTCTTCGTCCTCCTCCCCGTTCTCAATGTCTTCAGCTTCACTTTCACTGCTGGACACATCGTTTTCGTCATCGATTACTGCAACCGCCTCTGCAGCAGGAACAGGCTTCGACTTCAACTTGACCACAGTTCCACCTTTTTGCCGCTTGGAAACATTTTCACTTGGCGTGCTTTCACGTAACCTGAGCGCAAAAGTTGTTGCTTTGGTGGCAGTTGCCTCCGATTCGTTATTGTCATTTTCTTTTAACAAAAACTTGGACTTGCGTTGCTCCCCGAATCGAACTTGCAGATCGCGCAAACGTCGTAAAAGTTCTTCGTTTTCCGTTTCCAGTTGCAGTTTGGCATTTTCCATGGCAAGCAACGTCCCCTCGAGTTCCCGATTTTTGTCTTCCATCTCCTGATGATCCTTGTGACTACCATCAACGCTCACTTTGGTCTTTCTCTTTTCCTTAAACGCCTTGGCTTTCGCTCTTCTGGCCTCTGCCTCCGCTTCAGCAAGCGCAGCAGCTTGTGCCGCTGCTTCCGCTCGACTGCGAGCAGCTTCACTCTCCTTGAAGCGCTCCATTTCCTGCGTTTTCGCTTGCAACACGAACGTATGTTTCATGATTTCCTCACTCTGCGCACGAACTTTAGCTTCAAGCTCCTGCACTTTGGCCTCTGCAACTGCTGCCGCCTTGGCACTTGCCTGGAACTTGTCACGCCACGACGCGATTTGCGCATTAGCTGATTCTGTTGCGCTCTCGTTTTGCTCCTGGGCGAGACGAAGCTCTTCCGACCGCGTGCGTAGTGCTCTCTGGGCTTTTGCAAGATCCTGGGCTTGTTGTTCTGCTTCCATACGTGATTCCTGTTGGATACGCAGCGCTTCTTGCAGTTGAGTAGCCAAGGAATCTTTTTCACGATGTAGTGCATCGATGGTGCTCTTCAATTGGTGCTCTCGAACGGCATATGGAGGAGGTTTACTGTCCTCTTCGTCACTGTCGTCTGAGGCCATGCCGTTCGCTGCTACCGATTGTAGGGCTTGATGGATATGCGAAAGACGCTGGTGTCGTCGTGAAGCCCGCTCTTCTGCCTCTGAAAACGCGCTCCCCACTTTCTGCGCCCCACTGCCCATGGCAGAGTTCACTTCTGGGTCATCGGCAAAGTCTGCGACAATAGAACGCTCTGTGTGCGTACTGGTGCGAGCCAACGAGCGATGTGTTGACAGTAGAACGTCTCCAACTCGCCACCGAGCCGGAGTCCGCATCACTTTATCGCCAAACCCATTATCTTCATCTTCGAGTTCCTCGTGATCCGCAGCGGCCATCGCATCGTCATAACGACGCACTAGCTCCTCCACTCGCGACTGTATCTCGGCAATCTTCGGATTGATATCATCGGGCTCTACTGCTGACAACATCGCAGCACTTGTGTAAGTCACTCGTGAATTCCTCTGTCCCATCGAAGCAGTATTGGCAGATGCACTTGCAGATAGACGAGCTGCAGTCTGTCTTCTCGGTGACGGAGCATTTCGACGAGGTCCTTGGCCAGGTGGCGGCCCAGCGCTATTACGCCCCGCCATTCTTCGCAACTACTACAGTACCAAACAACAACACTCGTTCGAATCGAAAAATATTTTTAGGCAAGTCAGCAGCAACAACAAAAAGTTACAGGGCTATGAACAAGTCGCATGGTCATTTGTCGAGCAAAAAATGTTACGTGGTCTGTGGTCTTGGGGTCCGCTGTCATTTAGTTCATGAGTGGAGAACCACCGATAGCTGCGCTCGATCGATTCTGCTACCGCCGGCCACGATTTTACGAGTTGTCATTGATGCTGAGCAATTTCTTCTCCACGTCCTCGAACCGCTCCGAGCCTGATCGATCGCGGTGGAAATAACCTTGGATGCGTTGCTTCTCCGTCTCGCTGAGAGATTCGAGGCAAAACTTGAGATGCGCCGGGGTCAAGTCCTTCCGTGTGATCACTCCACGAACTTCGTTTCGTCGGTTCAACACAATGAGGTGACGAAGTCCCAACGATCGGAACAAACGGAAAGCACGCGGCACCGGAGTCTGCTCTTGAACAGTGTGAGGCGTGGGGTTCATGTACGGCGTGAGATCCATCCACAAGTCTCTTTCCTCCTCGTCCAGCTGAATGTCATTGATGGACGGGTAACGTGGATAGCTGCCTTCCATGTCACGGTACGATAACGCATACTGGTCGTTGTACAACAGCGTCGTGTCGCTAGCAGGCGTGCGGACGAACGGCTCCGGTTTCTCAATGAAAAAGTCCTTGCGTTGCAGTAAGACAGCCAAATGATGACGATAAATGATCCCAGAGAAGCGAGGAGACTTGCGTTTACCACCGGAACTGGGTCCGTCTTGGCTGCGAGGGATAATCACAGGGAAGCCACCGTGATTGCAGTTCTTGAGCACGTCGTAGATCTCTCCCACCTTGGCGATCTGCGGTACACATTTGGGCGGCGAGCTCATGATGTTTACCACTCGTAAGAATCGGGCGTAGTAGGGAGGATCGAACTCTAGGAACGGCAAGTGATTCAAGTGGATGTGGATGTCGTACAACCCTTCGTTGAAGCTGTTCCCGACCCAGCGAGCAGCCATTAGCGACACCATAATAGGGAGACCCCACTCAATCACACCCGTGCACTCCAGAATGATGACTGTCAGTGAAATCGTCATACGTGCCATGCCACCAAGCATACAAGCAGAGCCAATCAACGCGAACATTCCATCTTGAGCGCCGACAGGGAAGCCCAGGTAGTGGACGATCATGACGCAGATACGACCGTAGGCTGCACCAGCCAGCAGACTAGGCACAAACAGACCAGAGGGCACAGCGATACCATACGTCCAGCACGCGAAGATGTAGAACACGACGAAGAACATACATAACGAGAACGGCGTGAAGCTGGCCTCGCCCGTAAAGTGCAGCAGTTGCTTCATACTGGTAGCGTAGTTGACTGTAAATAAGGATGCCAAGTCGTTATACTGACCCTCGGGGCAATAGAACCGCGACAACGAGTCACTGTAGTCTCCAGCAAGCTCGCGACAAGTCCCGAAGTAGTACGACAGCCAGAACGACGCTGTGGCCATACTAAACGCGATCAACAAAGTCTCACCGAAACGCAGGAAGCGGTGCGTCACGTAGCGTTTGCGGAACTTGGTCAGAATTGTGTTGGCACTGTTGAAACCAGCGCCGAATAGCCCACCCACCATCCCCATGAGGATAAACACAGGAACATCCAACACTTCGTAGGCCTTACTGCCAGCGAACTGTCCGAACGTAAAGGTTCCCGTCTGAGTGCCTAATGTACCGCCAATAAAGACATGACCCACGTCAGGAGTCGGTCCGTTGGATTCACTGGCTTCCATGAACGACATGAAGTAGTTGAGCACGAAAGCCGACACCATAGCGCAGAAGAAGGTGCGCCACGTGAGATTCTGGTGCCAGAATGACGCTCCTTCTTCCAGTGCGAACAGAACGCCACCTATGGGAGCGCCAAAGGCAGCCGCCACACCCGCAGCAGCACCACACGAGATGAAGTCGCGCTTCTCCTTGTCGTTACGGAACCCTTTGAACTTGGTCCAGCTTGTGTCCAGCCCGAAGCTCGAGGATTTCCCCTGTGACAGTCCAGCACCAATCACCGAGCCACTGTGGATCATAGGTCCTTCTTTCCCCACTGGCAGTCCTCCAGACACACTGAAGAGGATGCCAACCGCCTTGCAGAACAGCGTTTTCAGACGCACTACACGGTGGATCTTGATCCCGTTAAGTGTCGCTTTGATCTCGGAGATCCCAGACCCACCGGCCACGGGACAGAGAATTGCGACACAGTAGCTAGCGACAGACACGAAGCCCACACTAATGAGCGCGTAGACCAAGTAGCCGGTGCCGAAACTGCGAGATCCCTCCATCTCGCCTGCAACGAGCGACGCCATTGTGGCGGTACGGAATGTGGACAACAGCGACGTCCAGAACTCGACAAAGCAAGCCACGAGGGCTGTTCCCAGTCCCACACCGAACGTCATGACCCAACGCGCGATATTGAGCGAGCGGATGGCGCTCTCGGTCTGTTCCTGGTCGTGTTGCATGTTGACTCTGCTCTCGAAGAAGTCGTAGCTGTAGGACTCGCGGTGTTGCGCCTTGGCACGTTTCTCTTTGTCCTTTGCCTTCTGCTCCTGCTTGCGTGTGGCAGCCGAGAATGGATTGCGTCCTTTGCCCTTAAGCCAGTCCAACAGCGTCGTGCCATTGCGTTGACGCAGAGCTTCCTCGATCTCGAAGCGCGAGAACCGGGCGCCAGAGTACAGGTCGCTTGGGAAGGAGTGCGTGCGCTGCACGCCGTACGTCGGGTATTGTTCGCGTACGTGCGACTCCAACTGCGAGATCTGCGGCATGGGGCTGCGACTGTTGACTCTCCAACTGGGGAAACGAGGGCCGTCTAGTGCGAAGCGCGGCATGGGCGAGCGCAGAATGGAGGATGGAGAGCGAAGAGCAGACGCTGTGCGTGCCAGGGCCGGGAAACGACGCGGATCTTCGACGACCACGTCCTGACCAGAGGACAGCGTGTCGCTCTCGTCGTCGTCAGCGTTAGAGATGGACACACGCACAGCGGTGGGGGTGGGCGGCGCCAGCAGCGCGTCAGTCTCCGACGGCTCGCGGGAGGAAGCCATGGCTCAAAGACACAACGATCAATGAACACGGCGAGGCTAATGGAGGAGTGGACTCAGCGGTAGAGCCGACCGACACGGCAGATATTTGAGTTGGTAAAACTGACACGCAAGAGTCAAGTCGTTGCATGCAGAACATGATATCACAATTAAGAGGAGATTGAGATATCTGATTGACTAAGACAAATCTGAAGCGAGCTTCTTTGTGAAAGGGGATTGGTTCGAGAGTCTGGATTACTGTTTCCTGTGATAATTGGTGAAAAGTTCATTTCAGGTTTTGATGCATTATTGGAGATATTTGGGATGTGCGCTACACTCCCAGAGCATCTTAAAAATTGGTGAATTATTATATTTTGGCAGAGACCAGGCGCGTCGTTTGAATGGACCAATCACCGCTGACGCTGGGTGGACCGGCGAATGAGACAGCTTCCATGTGCCAGCCTGGCACATGGAAGCTGTGGCACTGCCAGGCAGTGCTGGGCGGAAGGCGGAAGCTGGTCTCGATGGCTACGGCACGAATATTTGCCGCGCTGCAGCATCGCCGCGACATACGCTTGGCGGCGACGGAATTACTATGTTAGTCCACGAAGTCTATGATGGACGGCCCTGTTGAAAGCGGCGGTGCCATTTGGCCCTCGAAACCAATTATTTATAGATGGCTTGCTTATTGACAGGAAAACTGTGGGAATAATGTCTGGAGGTTACTTAGACTGTGAAATTCGTGTACTGTTGCACCCTCGGATGCCGGAGGTGGAAGCGGCCGTTGGCTCCGAAAATAATTCTCTCTGGTCGTAAGGTGGCGGACACGTGACGGATTGGCAGGAAATCTACTGAGTGCACAAACAGAAATGTTTGCTATAGATATCTCAAGCACTGCACTCTCGTCGTTGGGATAATAGCAGCAGAGAATCGTGCACGTCTGTACGACGAAAGGATGCATGTCTGAGTCTGATAACGTTGTCAAAAGCTGAAACTTTCAGCCTGAAACCAACGTGTCGACAGCCACGCGAATCATTTTACTAACGTTACCCACACGCGCCGCCAACAGCAGTCCAATCGTGCTCCATGAGACTACGCTCTGGGCCACGGGATTAAGCGCGTAGCGCTAACGCGAGGGGTGGAGATCCCTGTCGTGCTCGGAGTAGCCGCCACCGGAAGGAAACGTTCGGGCCAAAAGCGCGAACTGCCAACTAAGAAACGAACTTGTCCGCAGCAGAACGTTTAGGACGCCGATGTATGCAAGGACAATGCCCGGCAGTCGCGTTTACGGCCAGGATGACCTGGTCCAGACGCTGGCGTTGCGCCGGCTATGATAACCCAAGTTGGGTCCATCAATAATATTGATTCAATATCGGCAGCGCCTTCATTCGTTTTGGCTGCACAGCAGCAGCTTCAACATGCGGCCGAGCGGAGACCTGTTGGCCGGCTTGCCGTCGACTAGCTCGCTTGGGTGGACGTGTGGCGTAGATGGCTCCGGCCGGCTCCGCGTTGAATGGCTACAGAACCAGCAGATCTCAGAGGTGATCTGCCGATACTTTTTTCCGCGTACGTCAGCGGCAGCGCTTCAACCTGCAAAACTCGATCTAAAGGTCAGGTTTTCATTGGTTGTTTATCGAAATTTAGAGGCTCATCGTATTATCAAGTATGTCAATCGAAATTCAAATTGCTTTGCTACTATTTGCCGATTGTTATTACACTGTTTAGAGAAATTCTTGTTGGCAGCGGCCTCCGCAGCCAGTGGAAGGCGCGCTACTCTCGGCTGAAGATTTGCACCTCACTCTATACATGTAGCAGCGAAATGGGCTTCATTTTGCAATGTACTGGAATTAATAACTCGGCATGCAACCAGTTATTAGCAACAACCATTGCCGTCTGGGGTCGGAAACGGGGGTGGGCAGAGATTCAAGTCGGCTCGAATTTCGGGTCATTGTAGATACCCTGCGTGTTTCGCCAATCTTGATGCAAATCGCGGCGACCGCCCAGGCGCCCGCACTCATCCGTTCGAAAGCCAGCGGCGCACGTACTGTTGTATGCAGATGATCCGCGACTGGCGTGGACGATGCCGCACTCGCGGCGCTAGCGGCGAGATCCGCACGCCAGGGCGGCGCTTTGCGCTGCCTCGGGCAGTTTGCCTCTCGACTCTAGTTGCCCTTTAAGCAGAAGAGCCGCTGTTCGACCGGAGAGAACCGTTTTCTGCCGAGGTCCTCGCAACGGGCGGGGAAGCGGACAGCGGCAACAGCACGCAGCAATACACGTATGTGGGGTCCTGCAGGGCTCCGCGTCGCGCGTGGCATCATGGCGTGATGATGAACGAGTTCACTTGATAAGCCTAGCCCAGTAATTATCACGGTCCGCGGGGGGTATCAATTTTGTGAGAGATCGCTGGTGTCGGGAAGGCCCGGCTGTGCTCTGTCTGACTTGCAACCACTATGGCGCCTTGCGGGAGATTGCGCGCACGGAAACGCGGGTCGTGCGCAAACGGGGCAGAGTATCGGTCGCGTCAGTGGAAATCGAATGCAGTCCCTCCCCTCACCTTCCCCTGCAATGGCGCCACTGGGACGTCAAAGCCGAATCCTGTCCCCATTCTGCGATTGGGGGCTTTGCCGGCTACGGGCCGAACGTAGAGAAGAGAAAGCGATCGCCTCACGAGCGCCACTTTAGGATCCTTCGAGGACAGCAGCAGGGGGAGCGCAGACAGCCAAGCAGCACAGCAGGCAGGCCGACTTGAGAGCCGTCATCGGGACCGCAGGCAACAGCAGCAACGTCGAAGGACGCGCGTAGATGACCCTCAAGTGCTGGAACGCAGCGCCGCCCCGAAAAGTACCGGCGATCGATACGAGCACCAGCGTCGAGACCTTGCTAGCCGCTGCAGCAGGCAACCAGAACAACAGCCACATGGGTCGCGGTCGCGCCACCCCAAAGTCGGCGAGATGCCGCTCGCAGTCGAGCAACTGGGACAAGGACGTCGTGGACAACTCGGGCGAAAGCGAGGACGACCGCTTTGACGTGACGGCCGCCACTATCCCGGCGCCGTCTCACCAGATCCACGCCATGCCAGCGCTCTGGGTTAGCGGCCGGAGGCGGCACAGTCGCGGCCGTCCCAGACGACGTACCGTCAGCGAGAACTACAACCACGGCAACCTCAGCGTCGGTGCCGGGTATAGCAACAATAGCACGCCCACAGGCTCCTCCATCAGCTCGACGCTGCCGTCCTCGCTTTCAGGTGGAGACGAGCAGCTGCGCGAAGCAGCTGCGGCCGCCGCTGCTGCGGCCGGAGGCAGTCTCAACCAGCGGCTAAGAATCACATCGCCCGATGGACCGCGTTTTTCCGGCTGGGTACGAGGCCAAGCCGCCGAGGTGCAGTGGGAAGCGCTCGATCCGAGCGTGCAGTGCGTGCGCATCGACGTGTGCAACGTGGCGTGGGATGTACCCACCACCATCGCGCACCGCGTGGCGAATGACGGCACGTTCCGCTGGCGCCGCGTGTATTGGGGCATGCCGATTGCCGAGGGCTACTATGTGAATATTTACGACGTGACGGAGCAGAAGGACCCGACGGACATGCTGCTGCTGGCGCAGAGCGAGCGCTTCGCCGTCATCAAGTGAGCGACAAGCAGCAGCAATGACTGACAGCAGCATCAGCGTAGCGATCCGGTTCTCTTCGGCGTGGCCTAGTGTCGAGTGTACGTGTGGCCCGGTCCAACGGACTTGCAAGGCCTTATTTTCGGCACGTACGCTCAGCGCCCGACCACACAAGCTGCGGCTCGTATAAAGCCCGCGGAGAGGTATTTAATGAACCCCATTGAAGTCAAGACTAGATGTCGTGTTCGCGATAAAAAAGCGTAAGAGCTAAAACTCAACGTCGTGCAGCTTTGGCTTCCGGCGCGGCAGTAGTCAAACCAAGTAGAGTTAGAGAGACTAGCATAGAGATGGAAGAAGAGAAGAAACAGCAGCAAGCAGTATGCTCTGCCTTAATGCCTTGGGAGCCGGAACATCTTGTTCCGAACATGCCGTGGGAATCCCACTGGGATGTCGTTATACCTACCTACGTTGCCCTCGTGTCTCTGCTCGGTCCTACCATCGTGACGAATAAGATCTCGCATCCTGCCCTTTCACAAAGATCGACCGGATGAAGCTGCCGAAGCAGCCCCCACCGCCGCCGTCGCTGCTCGACGTAGAGCTCGTTCGCGCAGTGCGGCGTGCTGTGGGGTCTGCGCCACGGCCTGCCGACTACGTGGAGGCACTGCAGCTATTCACTGAGCCGCTGTCCGCCATCCCACTGCCCGTGCAGTGCGACGTTGATACGGCGCAGGCCTTCCGCGACGCGTCACGCGAGGAGATTATGCTCAACGGGGTGCGCTTCGTGGGGGACCACCGGATCGAGGCATTTGTAGCAGCCGTCAAGCGAATTGTGAGCGCACATGTGGGCGGCGAGGAGCACCCAGACCGTGCTCTATTAGTAGCCGACCGTGTCATGCGTAGCTGCAGCCGGACGCTTAGCGGTGCAGACTCGTTCTTCGCCGTGCATGAACTCTTCGCATCACCCGATGTGCTGGTGAGTCAAGCGTGATGTGTTTGTCCGTCAGACCAGCGTACATGTAGCTTATCTCTTCCATTCTTGCTGTTTACTGCGATCACGTTGGACGACCAACGCCGTGCATTGCTTGCCGTGCTCTCTGGGCTGGACCTGACAAGATCAAGCCGCGGGGAGGAGAACCTCCTATTCCGCTGGACGTGATTCTCGGCCGGGACTTTGAAGGTACGTAAGATACCGCGCTCGCTGGCCCGGCGATGCCGGCGTCCTGCACGGACGTCATTGCGCTTCGGACCTGCTTTAGCGCACTTCAATACAGTACCGAGAAGCAGACGGGCGAGGCGCGCGCGATGACCAGTCTGACCTGAATGTGCATGTGCTGTGCAGACCACCGCTTCAAGTGCCGCATCAAGTGCGTTAACCTCTTCGGGCTCTACTCGAACGAGGACATTGAGCTGCTCCTACGCAGCGATCGCGAGGACCTCGACGCGCCGCTTGTGGCGCTTGATGCCGTCGTCGTGGAGCGCATCGACCTCACTGCCGACAAGTCCTCGCGGAGGCTGACGATCTGCTCGCCTGACAGCAACAAAACGCCCACCAAGTTCGACCTGGAGCTCCGAGAACTCTTCTAGGCGACTTAATGATGAGGTTTCCGTACGCGGAGCGACGTCTGCGGAGTAATATCGACGCGCGGATCACCTGGCTGTACGGAGGGCGATGAGCGGGCGACGCATCGTCGCTGTAGTCGCTCAACACGCTGGCCATCTCCCATGACTATTCCTTTGTCGTCGCTTATATGTTCACCACCTCTCAGCTGCGCAGTGGCTGTACATGTACATGTATCATGCCAGTGCTGAGCTGTGGCATTGCCAATGGCAATTTGCCACAGCTCAGTACCGTAAGCCCATAAAATATGTATGCCAACCGATTTCAACGTTGGAATGAACGAAGTGACCAGATTTGCAGGAAGGTGTGTGAACTCCAAAAGATTTTTTTTTGCAAAAACCCACAGTATTGCAGCTGTCCGCAGCATTCTCGTCAGTGGACTTCGTGTCAGCACCAAAAAACCAGCAAACAGCAGTACATTGACGCACGAAAAAAACATACTTTCGAAGAAAAGGAAGGTTTTCTTGAAGACAACCACGGCACTTTTGTCTAATACGAAGTAGGTTGCAAGCTGCCTAAGCCGAGCTTCGAATCAGGAAATGTCGTTTGTGAGTAAAGAGTTTGACCACCTCATGAGGATCATCGTTTAAGTTTAATTGGCGCCTCGTTGCAAGTGTCGCTGTCATGATACTTCTCGCTCTTCTTCGTCTGTCAGTCTATCATCACGCGTTTTTTTTCTTCAGCTTGGTTGTCAAAGCAGCTCGAATTTCTGTTGCGAACGGGAAGGGCAACACGATCGTTCGTCCATCATTCGCCTTTTTGAAACGTACTGGTAGTAGCCGCTGCTCCTTTATCTGTTCATCCAGGGCCTTCATATCGGTGGTAGGTCAATTTTCTTATGGAAATTTACCGGTAGGGCATTCTCTGCGAGTGCAACGTGGAGTTTTTCGAGTCGCTCAAAAGTTGACAGTGTAGCATTCGAAGGATTAGATTTTGAAGGCGAACCGTCCCGAGGATTGGTCGGTTCAGCCTTCAAGCTCTTGCTGTGCCTAAGCTTCTCGCATTACATGTAGCTCCATCTTCTCTTGCAGTAATAATCACTCTCGTTAGCAAGTCCAAGTTTGTGGTGTCGCTAACTCGGATGGGTTTCCCTGGGAAACTTTCCCATGGAGCGCAAAACGAACTCGATGCCGTTTAGGCGAGTTTTGCTTATTGCTTTGACCTTGTTCAGTGTTCATCTTTTGGGCAAATTGTTTGGTCGGTTCCTCCTTCAGTTGCGTGTGTTTCCGTGCGTGGTAGAGTTCACCTAGGCTTTACTGTACTTTGGCTTTGTGGTGGACTTGAATGCGCCATGGGACGGAGGTGCTGGAGACAGCGACAGTGAGATCACTTTGTTGTGGCATTCCTGGAAAATCTTGACCCGAAATGATAGCGGTGCTGTTGGCTCGAGCCTATCGATGAAGGCGCTGGAACTACAGTGAAGTGTTTATTTTTTTCAGTAAGTGCATGAGAACTGGATGAATACCACGAAGGACTGGTCTTCGTTGTCTAATGACTCTGCACGTTGACAGTCCTCGCATAACTCGGCGAGTTCCTGTCGAATCCGAGTCTAGTTCACTCTCAATGACCGACTGCTCATCTTTGGGTGATCCGTTGATATCCGAGATCATGATTATCTTCCTGCAGTCGTTCTTACTCTTTGCTTAGTTCCTCGCTGGTAGTGCAACTCACAGGCCCTCGAAGCAATTGTAAATGCTTCTTGCTTTCTCTGGCCACGCTGTTGACGTCGCTTGTTCGACCGGGATTCCCGTGACATTGGTTGCCAATCGGTAAGGTCTTCCTTTTAGAGAATCGGTCCACACCCCGTTTCTAAGTAAAAGACGTCGAGAGCCCTTGACGATGAGGTTTACGGGCACCACACTCCCCGCTTCTTCTCGTTCGTGCTGCTCTCGCTTCTGTTCCAGTTGCAGTTTTTGCGATTGACGAAGCGAAATATCGCGCTTGAATCGATCAGCAAAACTCTCACCCTGATCCGAAATGTGAGTTCACTGTCCTCAGGATTGTACATTAATTTTTTTGCAGCGCACACGACGATTTACTGTCGAATTTGCACACGCGACTTGCTTGAGCGACGGATGTTAATAACATTGTTATATCAATGGAATTTCTTAAACGATCACTCAATACAATTTGAGCAAGATAGCTGTCGTCCCAGGCGTTTGTGTTTTCTTTGTTGAATCAGCTCCACCCGTGAGTTGCAAGACACTGGCACTCTCTCTGTCAGTAAAGTCTCAGTCGGCATTATTAATCAAAATTTGAACCATCGGAGCCAAAGTCCTGGAACCCCTCGCCGTCCATTTGAGTCACCAAGCAATTGCCTCTTCTTTTGTCATGCGAATAGACCGAAAACGAGAAAAGCTTCATCGTTTCACGGTATTAATAAAGTTTATCGTTTGTTTCGTGTGGTCGTATAGAGCAAACTGAGCCGTCCAACGGATTCAGCATAGCTGCCTTCTAGCCGCACGACACTAGGAGTATGCATACCGCATTTTTTTTAATCTAACCAGAATTGAAGTTGCCCTTGATGGGAGCAGTGATTGGCTAACGTTTTCAACGAATGAGCGCGGCCTTCGTGGTCCACACCAAACCTTTCATCTATGCTTGCGTCCTCGTCGTTCACAACAGCAAGACGTGTCCCCGCCGACGATGCTGTCGCACCTGAAGGAGCTCAAGGCGGAGAAGAAGAAGGAATCCAGGTATGGACACGTCGACAGTGCTGTGGACATTAGTCCTGGAGGCTTCAGACAGACGCCCAACAATGCCATAAACGTGGAAGCGGGAAACGCGAAACAACAGCAGGAGCGTAACCCCGAGGAGTTTTCAGACGAAGACGACGACGACGTGGACACGGAGGCGTCTACAGCCAAGATGGACAACGAGGACCTAGCGCATGATCTGCGGTTCCGCGTGAACGGCATCGTGGTGGACAGCGAGGTGAAGGGAGGCGCCCGCAAGGGGTGGGAGGGCGTCTACGAAATTATGTTCAAGAGCTCCACGCCCTCTGGCCAGCGCGTGGCGCTTGTGCTGCTAGTGATGGTGTCAATGAGTGTCGTGGTTGGTGAGTTCTACTGCAATTGGAGAAAGGGGACGAGGGTGCTGACGCTTTGGCGTGGTTTGTGTTGCTTCGATAGCTGTGCTGGACAGTGTGGACGATATTCGGTACGCACAACTGCATTGGCGTTTGATTTTGCTCTTATAGATGATAAGAGAGAGACTTGACTGTTGCTGCTGTAGAGAGGACATTGGAAACTACATGCTGGCTTTGGAGGCCTTCTTCACCGTCGTGTTCTCGGTGGAGTACGCTCTACGCCTCGTGTCTCTTCACAACCCGAGCAGATTCGCATTTAGCATGATGGGCTTTGTCGACATGTGTGCGTTGGTGCCCTCGTATTTGGGCTTCATTCTGCCGGACGCGAGACCGCTGCTGCACTTAGCAGTGTTGCGTATCTTCCGAGTGATGCGCGTGTTTCGGCTGCTTCGTCTCGCTCGATTTGTGGACGCAGGTGCCGCACTGAGCGACAACATTCAGTCAAACAAGCGACGAATTGCCGTGTTCCTCGTCGCGCTGTTCACAATGATTCTCGTCATCGGTTGTGCCATGTATCTGATCGAAGGCGACCGTCACGACTTCTCTAACATCCCGATCAGTCTCTACTGGACGGTTGTGACCATGACCACTGTGGGATACGGTGACATCTCGCCGCAGACGATCGTTGGTCGCATGCTCGCTACCGTTGTGATGTTCGTGGGCTACGGAATTATTGCCTGTCCGTTGGTCCTAAACCAGGCCGGCTCACAGGATATTCTGACTGAAGTAATTGAGTGCCCACGCTGTCTGCGGCGGCTACACCAAGGAGACGCCAACTTCTGTCGTGTATGCGGCACGTCACTACGTCAGCCTCGCGCTAAAGCTGTAAAAGCACGTCGCGATCGCCGTCTTCGTCTCGCAAAGCTACAGCTCCCGATTCCAGAGGACGGCCTACCGTTGTCGACCACATCGACCATGAGATCCAATGTTCGCCTCCTTTCCGAGGAACCAAACTCGACGCGGACAAACGATCGATAAATTTTGCCACGCCATTTTGGGATTTGGCCGCTTGCTTTAAGTGACACCTGTAGCATACCACACGCGCAAGATAGACAATGTATGCATGCTTTTTTCGTCAACATACGAAATGTGTCGTAGATGGACAAAAAACACGTTGAATTGAAAATGAGAAGGCATCCTCGCTGTTGTAGTCGCAAGGCTAGTAATAAGTTATGTACACCCGGTGGCGTGGCGGACTCCCTTTAAATTATGGCTTCACGACGGCGGCGCGAACGAACCAGGGATGGCTGCGCGATAGAATCGTCGTTTCGTTTGGCGTCTCGTGGCGCACGACGACTGGACACTGAAGCTGCTGCGGTCCCCGTACATCATCGTGGCGCTGTTGCGCTCGCGGTAGAAGGCCTCGTCGCTGCTGTAGCGAGAGTACGCACCCAAAATTGTCGGGTTGCTGTACTTTCGCAATATATCGTGGAGCTTAATGAGGTCATTGTGGGTGGCAGCTACTTGCACTGTGTCTCTCCAACCGTAGCGGTTCCAGAACTTTATGTTCTTCACCCAGATCTTCTTAGTCTCTTGATCGGTGGCTGTGAGAATAAGAGAGTCGTTCAGCGTGCTGCTGGAGCTGCCGTCTGGCCGCAAGTGCACCTTGTATGTGTTCACCTGAAAGGAACAGGGCAGTGACGACTCGTCTAGGTCCTCGTCCTCGTCCAGCACCTCGATCATGTGGCCGCTCAGCTGCAACAAGCGTTGACGCTTGTTCGATTCGTCCGGTGGCTCTATCTCTCCCTCAGGTTGCTTATACTTATGCGCCATCTTCTGTAACGACGCTCGCGTAATACAGACTTCCAACTTGGCCATCCGACGCGGCTCCAGCGGCGGCAGCGCGTGCTCTGACGGCTCCACGGGATCCATGTGGGTGTTCACGTTGAAAGAGCACACTAAGACGCCTGTGCAGATTTCCACGAAAGCAAGATGGCTGTTGTTGACCACCAGGTAGCCCGCGCAAGTCATGGCAGAAAGTTCGGGCGACTCTGCTCAATATTCGGAAATGGCCAAAGAGAACATGATAACGATTCAGCAATTTTTTCGATATCGCGACGGGACAAAGATTTGAAGATAACCAGTCTGTCTGTTACTACAATCAAGTCAAAGGATAAAAAGCTGCGAGAGAGGAGGTCCCTAAATCGATATATTACTTCTTTAGCCTCAGCTTTTTTAGTCGGCGTCACATGCTACCACGTGTACCTTCGAAATGGTACATTTACAGAAGCCAACCGAACAAGCGCACGCTTGGCCGGCTGTCTCATTTTCAATTTTCCAAGCTAGTGCCACGGTGGCACTGCCACCAAGGAATGGCGTTAAGGCACCCTAAGAAGACGACAACACAACAGCCTTAGAGCACCCTTAAGGTGCTTCCGCACCATTAGCACTGATCAGCGCCCTTATTTGTGGAAATAAATTACCAACAGAGGCAGCACAGAGGCGAAGTTTCACGTTAGTGCCGTCCATATTGTCAATTTTGCATTTCATCACATTTAATTGTCACATTTAATTGTCTTGTTGTAGCAGCTAATCCGTCAACAACTTGTTTTTTTTTCTTTGAAGATCCAGGTATTTAATAGCACCAGGTACATGTACGTGGTGCACGAGCTGCACTCTAGAGATGAGCGCGAGAGGCTCGACCTAGCGTTTGCATTTTAAGGTAAGATAATAAAGGACTTGCACGTGAAGCGAGCGAGGCAATGGCGCTACGCAACGCCCAATGTAGAAGTGAATTGTCAAAATAGGCGTGGAAATGCTAAACACACATGTGGTTTGTTATATTGATCAGGAACAAAGTAGTAGCGCGCTCCTGAATGTAGCACGATGTTTATGTTGACGCGGAGAGCCTGCTGCTTTCTTCATCCGTCTTCTGCATTTCAGCTAAATTCCCGGTGCTTGTCGGTACCCGCTTTGTTGTACACAGCAACATCCATGCGAGTCTCAATCGCATAACGCGTAAATATGCGTCAGTGACACGATGACGCCCAAATCTGCGAGCGTTGAGCACATATGAGTAAACCATTCCGATGATCATCACCTCACAGCAGATACCATCGGGCTGAGTCGGCTCACGGATCCAGCTCGTAATTACTTCTTTTGGAAACGATTCTTCTTAGCCACTATCAGTATGCCACCTTTGCAAGTACGGCAGTAACTCATTTTTCCATGCGCTCAAAACTTCTTTGCGATAGCATTACTGATGAAGCGGCTCGTAAAAGTTCACTCTCAGCGTTGTTGGGAACAAAACTTCTACGACGATAACTCCCCAGTGATCCGTATTTAAGTGAAGCGGCAGAATCACAAATTGCGTCTGAGATAACCATTGTTCTGGTGGCTTTGGCCATCGCAATGCCAGAGTCAGCAATGAAAAGGCAACACATCTTCGTGCACTCTCTGCTATCCAAGTGATTGCCATGTCGATGGCAGCGTCGTTTAGCCTGCCGCGTAGGACTCCACAAACAATATAGCTGAACTTTACAACGCAGGTTCTCGACTTAGTCTTCAGCTCTGTCATCCGCGATAGTGTCGAAAACTTCCTGATCACATCATCGGACAGTGCTTCGTGCATTTGTGCAGATTCGGAATGTAGCAACCCGTTCGTTTTGGTCTCCATAGCAAATAATTCAACTGGGTGGGCTTGAACAAAGCGCCATTCCTGTTTTATCCACTTCAGGTCTCCAAGGAAACCCTTCGATTTCGCCTTTATGTCGTAAAAACTCCTCATTCTGTACAAGAAAGAGCTACATAGACATCACCAGTGTTAGTAGCAAACACATGACTTAATAATTGTGCTGTGGCGCCCTTAGTACTCCTCGAGCAACCTTAATACTCTTGTAGCACCCTTGGTACTGCAGAGAAGAAACTGTTGACGTACCTGTGGAGAGCGATGTCGCTTGAGCCGAATGAAACCATGAGCCCCCATGGTGCGTCTTCCTTATTGGCAGCAAGACGGTCCCTCTTGTTCAGCATCGAAGCCTCTGCCTTTTTCAAAAGAACGTCTGAAATAACAAATAAATGTTCCTTGTGGCTGTTCGCGCTGGTTTCCGTTGCAATTAAACATCTAACGGGACGAGCTTGGATGAATTTGTCAGTCATCCGCACTGGATACTGGTCGAGCATATTCGAGACCTTCTCCACGTTCGGATGATAGTTAGACCACTGAATAATTTCGGTCATCGTTGTCGTCACCTCAGAAGAAAACAAAACAAGAGCAAACTTCGGTTGTGGGGTGCTCCATCCTTGCTTCTTCTTTTTCTTGTTCGAGGTTTGGGGGCTGGGAGCTGGAGGAATTTTAGATCTCGAGCTTTGGGAAGAATGTCCGATGACACGGTAGCCTCAACAGGCAGGACTTTGGATTGGTTTGTTTTGATGTCAGATGTATCTGCGTCCTCGTCGTCTGGAAAGAGTTGTAATGCAGGTTGTTCAGAAGGTTGCGCAGATTGTGTTGGTTCAACAAACAAATTATCGGACGGCGCTGTATCTTTGTCTGAAAGAGAAACGTCGTGCATCGAAATGCTCCACTTTCGATCGAGGTCAGCTAGAGATTCAGCCTTCATGGCCTGTTCTTGATCAACTTCCATTTCGGCCATCACATCTGCGTAATCAAGTTGGTCCAGATATCTCATCGTATCACTCTTGAAGCTATCGTCAATGGATCCACAGTCACCCCCTACTTCTTCCTCGAGCACTGTCTTCCACTTGCTCATCTGCTGGTAAAAGTCAACTGCAGAGTAGCACCGTGGCTTGGGGGAAGCATCTCTCTAACACTTTCCACTCCTTGAAGTCTTTGTCTATCACAAAGGTCTGGATGTTTCTCCACGAATTGTTGTGCGTCTTAATACATTCCAAAATAGTCTCCATTGTCTCCATCTTTTCGTTGAGAGCGATAAAGTCTAGTACAGGCACGCAACGTCCTGTTGCACTAGTCACCAGCAGGCCACCTGCATTTACATGTAGATAAGAGACAATTAGTTAGGATGCTACACCAGAGATAAGGGCGCCCTAGAGATAAGGATGCCTAGCGTAAAGGGCGCCGCAAAGATAAGGGCGCCGAACGAAAAACATTGAAGAAAATTTGTATGACTTCACACAATTAATGAGTAATCTTACCGAGATGAAACCCCAACTTGTTCGTGCCGTAAGTCCAGTCCATGCATAAAGTGTCACCCCATTGCTCAAAAGCTACCTTTTGAGTGGCACTTTGCATCACAACGCCGCACGTCACGTCGTTTTGATCGTGGATAACAAGTACATAATGATTCTTGAACTCCGCGAGGGTATCAAGCATGCGCGTTAGATGTTTATCAGCGGAAGTACTATTCAGTACCCTTTGCACAATATTACGCGCTTGCTGGGGTGTCACCTGACGGTCCAAGGCGCCCGATAGAAACTCTTGAATACGACGCGAGTCTGTGTTTGCATCGGCAAGAAGACCCACTTGTTCGAGAACCAGACTATCTTCCGGTATTGACCCGGCTTCAACGTAACTCGCGTAAATCGTTGCGTTCGTGCGGTGATTATGTGTCCATGTCTACAATCAAAGACATCAGCTTGTTAATAGAAAACCCTTCAACAATTGTACGGCCACGTACCCAGTTCCGTAAAACAATTTTCCACTCTGGTTTTTCTCCTTGTGCGGCAACATTTCTTACTGCAGCTGTGAAGCGGGCTTGACATCCAGTGTATCGACTTGGCGTACTGCGCCGACCTTTGCTGCGAGACTTTTACGAGCACCCATGTGTGCAGCGGAACACCTTGTAGCTGTGCTCCATACTCGTTGGTATCTGAGCGTTCAATCTAATAAATCATATCAACATGTTATCAGTATTCAATAATATGATGGCACAATCTTTAAACTTAGGAGTTGTGCTTTTTCACGGTCTGAGTATCACGGGCTCGGAATAACAGGAAAAAATCGCTGCTGTACCTCTTTAAAACGCGGTTAACCTCACTCCACGACGGAAAAACCAGCGTAGGTAGTAGAGATATCTTGTTGCAAACGCCTTCACGGGATGATTTCATCGCCATACGAGCTGGATACGTTTCGGTACGCCTGGCGCGAGGCGTGCAGTCGGATTGTGGGTCTTGAGCATACCGTTCGAGTGGATCGTGACGGGAATCGGCTGTTGCTCCGTCCGATGAATGCATCGACAGCGTCTCTGCTCCACTTTCTCCGCCAGTGCTGCTGCTCGTTCCACTCGATCGCCGCCGCCACCCCTTCCCGGATCTTGCTGTACGTCGACGGTAAAACTTTTTCCGCTTAAGAGCTTGTCTCTCCGACCAAAGTGATTTTGTAGCGCCTACATTTTCGTTTAATAATACACATTTGTTATTTTTATGATTCAGCAGAGCTCCAGGAAGCAGCAATACAAACCTTGTCGATGAGAGTGCTTTGGCTTCGATTCTGCGCATGCCATTAAAATTCATATTAAACAAACGTGGAAAGATGTCTAGCAACCGATTGTTCTCACCGATCTCCTCAAGAAGTTCCTGCAACTCCTCGTTTGAATCGCTCATGTGTATAAAATCTTCGTCGCGGTCGTCGTCTGGGGCGTCACTAGAAAACTCCTATCCATCGAAATCTCGTCTACGTCATGATACGAAACGTGGTCAAGCCGTAGATAAACGCACGTACTCTCTGCATTGACTTTACCCTCAGCGAAGTGCACGTGCGCGCAAGCATTTCCCGGCGACAAATACTTCAGTTGGCGATCGTCTGGCAGTATTGCGCGCAAAGCCCCCTTTTCCCGCGCTGCGCGTTTTCTAGAATGTTTACTTAAAATCCGACGGCCAGTATTTATCGTACCTAAATGAGAATGTATTGTACTACTGAGTAATTTAAATTATCACGGAAATTTAATATTTTACGTGTAATCTTTGAAGCTCTTAAAAAATGACGAAAATTCTTAGGGCGCCCAAACGCGCTCGGGCGCCCTTAACGAGACTTTTTATGCAAAAAACCTAGGGTGCTCCAACCACTTCGGCCACCAAGATGCCAGTTCAGGACACAGCACTGCAACTGCTTACTGATCATCGACAATGCAAACGTTTATGGAGACTACGACACTAATACAATTATTACATACGTCGAAGTGACGTTCCTACCCAGGCAATCAATTTGCATCGATTTTTTAGATTACGCCCTACTGCAGTTTACAGTGCATTTAGCTTCTCGAGTGCAATTAACTGTTGCAATTCGCAAGAACCATGTAATTGGGCATTGTAATTTAAAGTAGCAATACTTCACGTCAACGTGTTTGTAGCTATAAGTGTTTTTATAGTCTTTCCGCTTTAGCAAGGCTAAATGCAGCGCTAACAGAGTAGTTGTGGCATATCATCTCGCGGCGTTTACGCTGGACCACGCTCTCTACTTCATTCTCCAATCCGTTGGATGGGCTAACAGTCCTTACGCCCGGTAACCCTCGCCGTCCACGCACAAGATCTTCTTTGCCACTACTACAGATAGCCCTGTCAAAGCCCAATGAAGGACGCCAAATGCAGTGTAGTCAAGGCTATCAGATAGTCGCTTGCTGAAATACGAGGATAGGAACCATTTATGTAGGTCAGTGCAGCAGTTGGGTACTGCAGGCTCTACTCCAATTGGGTATTGCAATATCTAGCTCCAGGCAAGGGAAAAAAATCAATTTGCATCGATTTTTTCGATAATCCTCCATTGCAGTATACATTATTGAAGTTGGCTCTTCAGGTGCAGTTTGGTATTGCAATTTTGGGGGAGCATGCAATCGGGTATTTTAATTGCAATATTTAAATTGCAATAATCTAGCGTTAAGTACGAAGTATCTTGAAGTCTACCTTGAAGTTAGATCTTCCTTCGAGGTCTTGTCCGTCCAAATTTTCTAGTTTAAGGTATAGCGTTTGCGGAAGAGATTACTAGTCTACCTGCGGAATAGGTTATTTCTCAAAAGTGCACCAAAAGTTTCATTCCTGAATCCTCTCAGTCACAGAAGCACAAACACTCCCTGTGTGTACCTCACCAATCTCTACAATGGCTCTCTCAAAAAATAAAGCCAGACGTGACGGAATGCCTGCGTCGGTCAAGTACTACTTCGACACTACGTGTCGGCCTCCAAGACAAGAATGTCACCGTGGCTTCTGCTCGCGGGACTTTCGACGCTATTCTGGAGGACTATCCGGAGATGGGCCATCACCTTGCACAAGACGCCTCCATTGTGCATGATCCTGTCTTCGAAGCAGCAATAACGAAGGTCCTTAACGACACCACAGGCGATTTGTCAACCAGAGAGAAAGCTGCTATAAAGTAGTTTGAAGTTAAAACAGCCCCCCCGTCTAGACGCATTGTACACGGCGAAATGGTCGACTTCTACCACCAGATACAAGAACGCAAGCGCCTGAAAACGACTAGGACAACGGCATATGAGAACCTCAGCTTCATGAAAGGAAAATCCGTAGCAGTTGAGAGGTTGTTTAGTGCAGCTAAACGTGATGACGGACCGCCGATCCCGCCTGACTCCTGGCATGTTCGAAGCCATTATGTTTCTCAAGGTAAACTAGGATTTCTGGAACTCACGTTTTGTTGCCAAAGCGATAAGGAAGTCACACGATGGTGAGCAAGTGTTTATCGCGATTACTTAGTGCAGTTGAGTATTGCAGGTTTTTTTTGCAGTTTATATTGCAATCTCATCGGTACCTGCAATATAGCATTTTGATTGCAATTTTTTTCCGGCGGATAAACCAATTTTTTTCCTTCCTTGTCTAGCTCTCATGCAATCTCGACTTTTGATTGCACTACATATCCAGCGGATTGATCAATTTATTTGTCCCTTGCCTGTTCCTACCGCCAAATACTACTAGGTAAGCGACAGCTTCTTGGCGCTGGAATAATTGCTGCGTTCAAGCAGCGCTACCGGCGTCGCCAGATCCACGCTCTTGATCAGCTTGAAGTCGACCCATCGATGGACATGTCGAAAGAAACCAAGTTATTAAAGGTTGACGCTCGCCAGGCGGAGGTATGGAGCATCAACTGCTGGAATTCCATGCCACCCTCGATATTTGTTTAGTGCTGGTCCACTCGATTACTATGTGTGCGAATACAGCAAGCCAGAAAAGGAGGACTCCGAAATCGACGAGATAGCTAAGATGCTGTCGCGCCTACCTGTCTCCGATCCGATATTGGTGACAGAGCTGCTGAATTCACCAGATGAGGACGTGTACGACAAACCTACTGATGAAAATTTCTGCGAAATCATAGTGGAGGACGTTCCCGCGAATGATAAGTCGATTGGTGCCTGCGAGGATAATAGAGATGAAGCAGAGAACGATAATGTAGAGATTGATTCTGCGGATACTAAGGAGCACCTTAAAAAGATTGCAAAGCTGCTTTTTCAAAACGATTCAACGGGCGTGTCGGATAGTAGCAGCTTCCGCCCTCCAAGTTGTGGTCTTCAGTGCCGCACTAGTCCCACCAGTACAACAAGTCGTCAGCTCCGTAGTTGCCGTGCAGGGTCGTCGTCCCCTGGAATGTAAAAGAGAAGTAGACTTGAGTAGTTTTAGAATAGATCCAAAGTGATATTAATTCTTATCTGAACGTACTGCCAAACCACATCACAAGAAACTTTATAGCAAGTAAGCACAAGTCTACATCAATCCGTCTAGCTGAAAGGCCTTGACACAGACGAGAGTTCTCAGTTTTAGAGCGTCAAGGCTCATACTCCCCCGAACGCTTGTCTCCGTGTCACTGCTGACTTCGGCACGGGGCTGGAAGCTTCGTCAACAGTTCCTTCCGTTAGCTTCGGTACGTGCCGATCTTCTGCCAACGCTTTGCCCTCACCACAATTTTTATTTTCTTTGTGCATTACTGCACTGTCTTGGCGCTTCACCACGCCTCAGAAGTACGCTACGCCCAGCTTCTCGAGCAACTTTTCAAACCGCTGGATCCCCAGCGCCTTCGTGAACATGTCGGCGATGATGTCCTCCGTGGAGACGTACTCAATAGAGAGTTTTCCTCGCTCGACTAGCTCCGATAGTTTCCTGCTCTTCTTCGCAAAACGCTTTACCCCGTCAAAGTTTCTTGCGTACGTGCAGACCTTGATCGTACCCTAATCGTCCACGTAACGCTTTCCGGGCGGCTTGCCAAATCCGAGCTCTTTTATCGTCTTACTGGCTCATAGTATGTCTTCCGCACACAGGCTCGCAGCCACCAGTTCAGACTTGCACGTATTGTCCGTCACCGACGACTGCATCTTGCTTTTGAAGCCCACCGTGTGTCCATTGAGCCGCAACACGATTTCCGACACCGACCTCGAAGTATCTGGGCAGTTCGCTTGATCCGCATAAAGGATACTCACCACCTTCTCCGAGTCAT